ATAATAATTGTGTAGGAATTATGTTAACCATTTTCGATCACTGTGCTCTTGTAGATTAACATTTTTAGACTATACAAATATAAATAAGTCAATTCATTAAATTGCAGTTAGGCTACTCTGCCTCTACCCGTACTCCTACACCTCTACTCATTAATGGTATTTTTATGTACACAAAACTTTTTTAATAATAATTTCGCGTTTTAAACCGTTATAAGTGTTTTATTTAAAGGAGTACTAGTTAAAAAATTTATTAGTAAAACTTTTTCTAATTAGTTAGTTAGAGTAATTACAGCCTGACGTTTCGGGTGCTTTGCAGCAGCCGATGTAACGGTACATTTCGCGATTTTAAACCGTTAAAGGGGTTTTAATTAGACAATATTTAATCAGATCAGCTTACCGTTTCCCCGTTTTGGACATGGGCGAATAAGTATTCGCGCCCTGGCCGACGGAAACAATGTATCGTTTTTTTTTTATTTTTTAAATTTAGACTTATATCATTTATAAATGGAACGATCTAACTCCGCAACGTGGCGACGAAAGAGGTAACTTATCGAAGGTTTCCTTAAATTCCGAACTGGCTTGCACATAGAAAGCTGTTTAGCAAAAACAACCTTTGGCGCGTAAAAAAACTATTGCTATTGTTGTTCGTCGTTCGTCGGAGTTGTTCGTCAACTTAGTCATTGGTTTTACTGGATTTGTGAAAAGTACGATCCTTGGCCGCAACTAGGCATTGATGGCTTTACGTATGTGAGTCCTTTAATGTCTCCTTTGCTAGCCGCTACATCTACTATAACATTTAGGTATTTGCTATAGTCTGAAAGCGCAAACAATGTTATTGGAAATACTACGGGGTACATTAGAACCAAGTAACTTGATGGTTCAAATTTGAGTTCCAAATTCAAAATTGCATCATTAATCAGAATCGAAACTCTAAGACTTTTTAAGCAGTAACTATAGTAGATTGCTTGTTATGAATAAAACATTTTGAACCGTTTAAGACTCGGACTATATGTGTTTAATTACAATTAATGTAATATACTTCTAGTTTTAAAATAACTTCCTGCCGTGTAATACAGAATGTAAAAAAATCTGGTAAAATGATTAATCTTTGTGAGTTTCAGTTGCGTACGCTGCGAAAACGGTTCAAGGCACCCAAAAATAATGAATGATTCTCTTTAAATGATATAAGAAATTTCCGCAACACTATAAGTCTATCTTTTAAGATCAACTTGCAAGAACGACGGGGCGCGACCAACGACGTCGATAACAGCCATAATCTTTAAAGATGTGGAGTGGATGTGGTTTGCCATAACTTTTGATAGACAAAATAACTATTCTATGGGGACGAAGTCACGGCCACAGTTAGTAGTGTTATAAATAAAAAAGATAAGATTGAAAATAAAATCTTAATTATTCTCGTTCAAATAAAAAATGAAATTCGCAACTGAATACAATAGCCTGTGGCCGTCCTTGTCCTAAACGGCGTTAGGGCTGTGAACTAATTAATATTAATTACATTAACAGTAGGAAAACTAAAGAACAACAATTACAAGACTTGTTATTGTAATACAAAGTAATTTTAAGGAAAACATCACATTATTGTTATGCATATTAATATTGCAAAGCTTAAGAGATAGATGGAGCTAGCGCAGCACGTTTGACTTTGTTTTAAATTATTAAATACAGAAGAGGTTTTATGATAGAAGACAGATAAGCATCGCGTTTACTGGTAGGTTTGATGGTAGGTAAAACACTCTAACTAAGTGTTGTATCACTTGAACACGATGCGATGTCCACCTTTTGGCTCCGGATATTCGTTTTCATCTGTGGACCGCGTCGTGCCCCAGGCGGAATTACGGTATTCCTACCACCCACTTAACATACAGATTTCTAGACGATGTCCAATATGTCTCTGGAAAGTTATTGTAACTAGGACTCGGTGGTGATCAATTCCACGATTATAAAATACACATTGCTACCATTACAGCACTAAACGCGCCAAAAATACTGAAACAAATTATTTCAGATCCGATTTTAGACTACCCTATGCAATAGTGAAAGTGAAAGCCCGTTTCCCCCTGGGGCATGGGGCGAGCACATTTCTGTGTCTGTTTCACTGATCATTCAGTTCTTTCATCGGGAAAGTAGTAGATCAGACTTCTGTGCCATGTCCGACCGAAAGAATTTTTTTTCGTTTCCTGAGATTCGAAACCAGGACGGACCTCTCGTGCAATACGTTTAACCATTTGGCTGCAGTGGCGGTCAACCCTATACAATAAGGTGATTAACATTCGCGTTTTCGACTCAGTCTGTGGATATTTGAATGCCAAAGGGAAAATAGGTCAACAACATATCTTAACTGTATAGTAAATGTCAGGGGTATTTCTCCTTCTAAGTGGACCCTATGCTCGCCTGTCCTCTAACATTACAAAACGAGAGAGATTACCTACACATAGTTTATAAGCCGACGTCAATTAAGAACAATTGCTTACTATTACAATTAATTTTTCCTGTCTATTATTATCTTATCGTTAAGTTCATTGTAATATTTTATTATGGTCAGTCATTGTATATTCATTTTCCTCTTTTGTGTTTTTTTATTTTTTATTTCTACTTCACGTTGTCCTTGACGGATATAAATTCTCAAAAAAAAAACGAAAAGTCGTATCAGTATTTTCGGAGATCAGCCCGTACAGACAAAGAGATAGGATCATTTATGTTTTCTAGTTTTTTTTTCATCTATGTAGAACCACACTGGATTGTCGATAATTTTATGTAAGGTTGAAATACACTTTAAACGGATTAAAACACGAAACATATTCGTAAGATTATTTTTTTTAACACGAAAATACTGACACTTTGCAGCCGTGGTCACGGGGGAAGTGAAGTTGAAGGGTGTCGCTAATGTCAAAGTCAAATCTGCTACGCTACCGCCATCTGTTTCGTCGACGTTAAACCAAAATTATGAACAATCAAAAGAGGTTAGGACATAAATGGGAAAAATAGAAAACATTTTCTAATCGATCCTGTCTGTTTGTCTGTATGTACACGCTGGGGCTTAATACAATGTTTGCCATTGACGGATTTTATTTTATTTGTATAAATTATTGCCAAAAAAAGCCGTGGTGTCGCTGCAAAGCATCCGAAACATCGAGCCGTTGTTACAAAAATTCTAAAACAAGTTTAATTAATTTGTATCGCGTTTTAAACCGTTAAAGTGTTTTATTCTAATATGAATATCTTCCTTTCAAAATGATGCTTACACCGTCGATTAAAGTTCACTATAGTGATATTATATGCGAAGAATAAATATTTTTTTTTTTACAATAATTGCTGCAAAAATAAAAATCGTTTTAAAATCAAAATATTAAACGGGTAATTAAAATCTACTGAATTGCCTTGAAATTATTAAAATAACGCATTTAATTTATGAAAAATTAGGTTTAAATTAAGAAATAGGTATATGGACAATTTGACTTCCAAATGACCTTCCTTATTCGAGAGTTATTGCGTAAGCGCATATTACATAATTATTTATAATTAAATCAATTTTATTATATAAACTAAATTAGTCTTTTCTTTGAACGAACGACGTCGAAGTCTTAATTGCACTAATTTTACGCAGTAAGTTAATTTAAGCTGAAGAGTCTGTTTGTTAGAACGCGCTAATCTCTGAAACTACCGGTTCGAATTGAAAAATTCTTTTTGTGTTACAGCATTTATCGAGGAAGGCTATAGGCTACAAAACATCGCGTTGTGATCAATAAAGGCGAAGATACAGCGGGAAATGTGCACGCAACGGGGAAGATTTTCATCTCTGTGGGTGTCAGATGCGTACGCTGCGAAAACGGTTCAAACCACCCAAAAAAATATGTATGAAAAATTATTCCTCTTTAAATGTAAAAAAAGTCCGCGACAGTTTATGTCTAGCTTTTAAAATTAACTTGCAAGAACGATGGGAAGGGACGCGACTGACGTCGTGGGTAACAGCTTAAGTGAATAAAGATGACGGACGATGTCGCTGGCATAGCTAGTCATATAAATACCAACAGTAAGTAGATGTACTACGTATCAAAAGAATAAAATTTAATTTAGTGTACAATAAAATGGAAACAAAGAATAAAGTAACAAATGTAAGTAATCCATACGAAAAATATCATGTTTCAGGATAACGAAATAAGTGAAATTTGTAAGATGTGGTGGGGGGTGGGGGCCTATATAAAAATAATATAATAAGGTAATGTAAAAAGGTCTAAGTCAGATAATATAAGAATTTTATAGTACATTTTTGTATAGTATACCAAAAGTGATTTAATGATAGTATCAAAGCTTTAGCCTTTCCTGGCCTTACATGCAAAATACATTTATTAATCGAGAGTAAATAAAATACAACCGTTTAAAACTCGAAATCAATAAGTTACCGTCGTTTAACTACGAATGCGTTTCAGCAGTTAGGTATGAGCCCACGATACGTCAAAATTTATTAAAGTACATTTTTTGCATTTTAAGCAGTCAATAATGTTTTAATGTAAGCTGCAGACAATCGATCGAGTTGTATACTGTCTGTAGTTCAAATAAGTTTAACTAATATATTTTGTTGAGTTATTTTAGGAAATATTAACAATTTTGATAGGAGAATTACTATGTATTACACGTGACTCCGTTCACATAGTAAACATCGAATAATTGACCCTATGGTTAATTAAAAAATGCATAGATTAGTATAAATTATTTAAAAACAATTGAATATAAGAGCTAACGTGCTTATATTTTTAATTAGGAGCTGTTCAAGCGACCGGTTCGGACGAAATATGCGAATTATACTAAGGAATGTCTTGTACCACTTACGCACTACCGCCGCGTGAACTAAGATATACCTATTTAGTATTCCTCTAATAAAAATGTAAATATAATTCAAACGTACAGATATTGCGCGTATTTCACAATACCTTATCAAACGGTACAATGATTTTCGCGGGCATAATCAGCAATCGACTTACAAGAATTTCGCTCGGCTATCAACAAAATCCCAGTTAGGAACACGAATCACACACCGAAACGCGAACGCGACCGCCTCCAGCGGATTCCAGCGATCGACTGACGCGATATGACACGCAAAACTGCGCGCGCGCATACATTTGTGAATCGTTCGATTTTCGAATCTCCCCCCACACGGCAGGTGGACGCCGGTGTCAACGCACGCTGGTGCCGCGTTTTTATCGCGGACATCCGAATATGAACCGCAATCTCTCATCGATGTCTATTGGATCACAATGCGTCCAGCTTTTCATCACTCGTATCACAGATGGGTGGCCGGGTTATCAGTCGGCGACAAGTTTAGGAAGATATTGTCCGTATTTGCAGCATGCAAATTCTGTGGTCCGATTACGAGATATACCGTTAAAGACAAAACTTGTTTTTTTTTAAAGAATGGGGCCAATCGCCAAGTAAACACATCTAAGTTGCGGGTCTTTTGCATCACCATGTTAAACGTTACGCAAGCGTGGATTTTATGGAATTTCTATATTAGATTTAGTATGAATTTAATAACATTTCCCATTGTGGGGCGAGCACCTCTCTGTGTCTGTTTCATTGATTTTACTTACAGACATATAGTTGATCAGACTTCTGTGGCCTTCCTGAACGAAAGCAATTAAATCCAGTAGCAGTTTATTTTAAACTAGCTTTATCAGCCACTTCGTCCGCGTAGAATAGTTATTTGTTATTGCGGAACACTTCATTTTTATACATTTAAGCTGTTACCAACGACGTCAGTCGCAGCCCGTTGTTCTTGCGAGTTAATCTTAATAGATAGACATATTTTTAGGGTATCTTGAACTGTTTTCGCAGCGTACGCATGTGAAACCCACAGAGATAAATAAATTTCTCAATTTTTTCCACATTTCCCGCGGTTTATACGCTCCTTTTAGTTACAGCGCAATGTTTTCTATAAGCCTTCCTCGACATATGTTCTAACCAACACAAAAATAATTTTTCAACTCGTAGATTTGAGATTAGCGCGTTCAAACAAACAAACAAACACTTCGGCTTTATATATTAGTATAGATTGTATTTTGACATAAAAATATCAGACATGAAAATGAATTTTAAGCGAGATGTAATATTTTCAACATTACTTCGATTTCCTGCTACTTCAAGTTAGTATCGACAAAGACCACTGTAATTTATAGGATATCTTTAGACTTTTACCATATAAATACGCTTGAGTGAGTTTGGGGGCGTTCGAAGATGAGTTTTGTCTAAATATATTATTATATAGGTAGTACTTGGCTAAGACATACAATAAGAGAAATAATCGTTTTTAACCGGCTTTAAAAATATTAGGTTCTCAATTCGATACCTGCTTATTATGTTCGTAAGGGCATAATTTCGTTGTTCGTTTTTGATGATTATTTTTTTTGAAAGTAAAGTTTCAGTCACAAACCAAAGAAATAGAGGGGAGCGCGAGTAGTATGGTTTAAAACGGGAAAAATATTGTTTAAACTGTCTCCCCGCGACCGCGGCTGCTGCAAAGCATCAGAAACGTGAGGTCGTAGTTAAAACTACTTAATTACTATATATAATTAAAATACTTACGTAAATACTGTCTATAGTTTACGCGAGTAGTACACATTTAAATAAAACACTTTAACGGTTTATAACGCGATATTTTAGTTAAACTTATTTGAAAATGATTTTTAACTTCGGCCCGACGTTTCGGATGCTTTGCAGCAGCCGTGGTCACGGGGAGACTCCCCGTTCAAATACGTTTAACTAATATATCGCGTTTTAAACCGTTAAAGTGTTTTATTTAAATACTTACGTAAGTTGTAAACAAGTTTATCTTATATATTTCGCGTTTTATACCGTAAAAGTGTTTTTTCTTTATGATAGAGAAAGATAAGCGTGGGTTCACTGGGTGGTGATATACCCCATCATATAGCATCTAAGCAAGATGTGCTGTCGCCTTATTTTGGCTTTGGATATTCGGAAACGCGATTAAACTTCACGGCGTTTCCATCACTGACCCGGACGCAGTTATATTCCTACCTCCCATTTAACATCGAGATTTCCAAAGTCCGACATGATTCAGAAAATTTTTGAATTAAAAAATTGGATACATATTGGACCCGGTGGGGATCAACCTTCGACTAGTTGATTATCAGCCATTCATTGCTCCCGACCAACGAGCCCGTTGTCCATTTAAATGTGTACTATTGACAATACTACTCTACCTTGATAGGCATCTATACTACTCCCCGTGACCGCGGCTGCTGCAAAGCATCCGAAACGTCGGGCTCAAGTTAAAAATAATTATCAAATAAGTTTAACTAATATATCGCGTTTTAAACCGTTTAAATGTTTTATTTAATTGTGCACTACTCGCGTATACTATAGACAGTATTTACCTATACTAGTTTTGTTACCTTGTTATCGTTCATTTGGAATTTTCGATAGCTAGATAGATACTAGAGATAAAATTTTCCGCTTATAGTATTTTTTATAAAGAATTTCTTTCTCGGAAAGAAGATAGTCATCACCAGGTATTATCCTCAAATTTCTCGATTAATTAATTGTTTTTCATACAATAATTTTATCATCTTTATTTGTGTTTCACAATTGTTATCACCTTATCAATAATAATAATATCTCTTGATTGATATCGTGATTGACGGTGATTGATGGCTGTGTGAATTGTATTAGAGAATTACCGGTAGAATACCAATTAGAGAATCATATAATTAACCGTTCTATTAATATAATAAATGCTGTAGAGCTGCTGTATATTAGTTAACTAATATATAACGCGTTTTAAACCGTTAAAGTGTACAACAAAAGTGTAAAGGTGCTACAGACAGTATAAAATTAAACAGTTCGGGCTGGAAAATGAAAATTAAGTAACTAATATATAAACATCGCGTTTTAAACCGTTAAAGTGTACAATAAAAGTGTAAAGGTACTACAGACAGTATAAAATTAAACAGTACGGGCTGGAAAATGAAAATTAAGTAACTATTATATAAACATCGCGTTTTAAACCGTTTAAGTATTTTATTTAAATGTGTACTACTCGCATAAACTACAGACAGTATTTAAGTATTGTCTGTAAGTTTAAGCGAAAAGTACACATTTAAATAAAACACTTTTAACGGGTTCAAACGCGAAATGTAAGTATTCCTTAACTTATTAGCGCGTAAGACAAGCGCAAGAGTGCATAAGACAAGCGCGTAAGACAAGCGTAAGGCTGAGGTTTTTTTACCTACTATCAGAAATTACTTTAATTTACTTCAACAAGTAAGCTGTAAGGCTGTAAGTTTCGGACGCTTTGCAGCCGTGGTCACGTGGGGCACTATAATATATTTTAATTCTGTATTATTACTAAGGTGTATAAAAAGGATATTGTTCAAATAAATGACTACAGCTCCTGCAAAGCATGCGAAACGTCGGATCGTAGGTAACATAAATTGTAACTAAGTTAACTAATATATACCGCGTTTCAAACCGTTAAGTGCGTACTGCAATACTTAAAAGCATATTACGTAAATAGAAACTAAATTATTATATAAGTACCTATAACGCATCTCGCTTACTACTTAAACTAAACCCAACAAAGAGAGACACTTCAAGCTTTCGACCCTATAACACTAACCTACATTTAAGAAGTTCAAGTATCACTACAATCTATATTTTGTTCAAGGGTCAAAAAGACAGAAATAAAACACGCAATATATGAGTTAATGTACGGTTGCTGCAACGCCTCAGACGTGGAGTAGTAGTTAAAAACATTGTAAACTATTTTAATTCGTGTTTTAAACCGTTAAACGTGTGTGATTTAAATGTGTATAGAAATAAAACGGTTTAAAATAGGATATATTAGAGTTAACTATTATGTAAGGTTCTTGCAAAGCACCAGATGTGGGGTAGCAGTTAAAACATAACTTATTTGTTTTAAACGAAACTTATTTTTATTTTTCGGGGCAGGTTTCTCGAAATCTGATTATTGTTTGTTTTTTTTTTTATATTTATTAGTAGATATTTATTTTAAAAAATTCCGCAATCTTCAAAATGCTTATGAGCTTCACTGCATCAAAGAACATTCGAAGGACTCTTAAATTCTCCGAAGACATGTAAGCGTCGAAAATGTTCATATCTTTTTTAAGTAATACAAAAAACCAATTTGTCGAAATTCTTGTTCGTTTTATAACAGACACTTCTTCGGACAGCGAAAGACCTGATGGGGCTCACCTTTTACTTTTTGGGTAAGGATAAAAAAGAAAAGCAAAAAATGTGGGTAGTTATTGAATCTATCCATACTAATATATAAAGCTAAAGAGTTTGTTTGTTTGTCCTAGCATTTGACACGAAGGCTATAATAGGGCTATAAAACATCGCCCTGTGACTAATACAAGCGAAGATACAGCGGGAAATGTAAAAATTATTTAAGTAGGGTTTCCGAGGCGCACGCTGCAAAAACGGTTCAAAGTACCGAAAATATATCTGTGAAAGAATGATTGCTCTATGATATAAAGAAAGTCCTCGACGCTATAGGTCTACGTTTTAAGATTAGCTTGCAACAACGACGGGAATGGACGCGACCGACGTAGTGGGTAACATCTTAAGTTTGCAAAAACGAATTTGGATGCCCAAAATCGCGATTCTCGCCGACGAAGTCGCTGTCACAGCTAGTGTAATATATAGATCTACCGCCTAAATGTTTTTGGTTTATTGCAACGTGTTACACTACGGGCATTCGTACAATTGTTGCATGATAATAACTTTGAACGTTCACTGTGTCAGTTCGCTAAATAGGAAGGAAATAACGAAAATTCATTTTGCGTAAAACATTGTTTGTGGTTACTTAAGATGTTCCTTTGTGTTGATATTGATTTTCGTAATATCCTACATTTTACACGCGAGTAGTGCACTTTTAACGGTTTAAAACGCGAACTACATTAGTTAAACTTATTTTAACTACGGCCCGACTTTGACGCTTTGCAGCAGCCGTGGTCACGGCCGCCGGACATAAAATAATTGGTAAATAAGTACTAATATATTTCGCGTTATAAACCGTTAAGCTGTTTTATTTAAATGTGTACTCGTAAACTACACAAATCATTAAATTTTTATGTCTTGCTTTGGAATTATTATATCATGATCTGAAAGGGTTTATTGCCTCTAGGTATTTTAGACTATATCGTGCATCTTTATGGTACGGTCCTATCTATACTAATATATAATATTAAGCTGAAGAGTTTGTTGGTTTGTATGTTTGCGCTAATCTCGGGAATTTAGGGTTACCATTGGTATCAAACAATGATCCCTCTTTAAATGATGTAAAAAAAAGTCCGCGACGCTATTAGTCTATCTTTTAACATTAACTTGCATGAACGACGAGAAGGGAGGCAACCCACGTTATGGGTAACTTAAGTTTAAAAGATGATGGGTTGTGCAAAAACAAATTTGGATGCCCAAAATAACGATTCTCGCGGACGAAGTCGCCGACACAGCTAGTTATTCCTACGATTAATGTGGACTTTTAGGCTCCAACACTAGGTGTTAATCTAAACGCAAAATAAAATTTTCGCAGGTGTTTATCTTGAAGGTGCGCGTGGATGCCTCATGGCCGTCGGCTGCGACCCGCGATAAGCGACCTCCCAATGTCACTTCAATGTCGCCGCGTCCTCTACAAGATGCACCCTGACCTCTGCTTATGATACGTTCCTATGACGAGAGCGGTCAAGCAATGTCACTTTCGGGTCTCGAGGACAGGGGGGGCACAGGGGGGTCACTTGAGGGAAGGTGATAAACTACATGTATAAAGCTGAAGAGCTTGTTGGTTTGACCGCGCTAATATCAGAAAGTATTAGTTCGAATTAAAAAAATCTTTTTTGTGTTGGTTAGTTTTTTAAAGCATTTATCGAGGGTGGCTTTAGGCTAGAACAACAGGTTACTGCAGGTAGGAGCGAAACAGTAGGATTACCTACTGTTTCGCTCCCATCTGCACCTATCTCCACATTAGTGGATAACATATTCATCTTTGACGGTTTACGTTGCTTTGAAAACGGTTCAAGATACCCAAAATATATGTATGGAGGAATTATTCCTTAACAGCTATAGTTAATTAAAAATGTGGGGAGGTTTGCAAAAACAAATTTTGATGCCCAAAATTCTACGCGGACGAAGTCGATGGCACAGCTAGTTAAAGACAATCGATGAAAAACACAAATGGATTGTAGAATGTGATTTATTAAAAAAAATATTAAGAGAAGCCGACAAAATGGAAGTCGAATATTGGTCATTCATAACGCAGACGAAATCCCGGTCGAAAGCTAGTTTATTAAGGCGAATTGACAGTCAATATCCAAAATAGTCGATCCAATATTTGTTTCACAAAGAGATATTTGATTATCATCACGATGACATAATATATTGTCCATCAAATGGACAAAATAATTTACCGAATTGTCTTAACCTATAATACTAATGTATTTTTTTAACTTGTAATTTTTAAAAACACACAATTTACACGATTTCGTGTAAATTGTGTGTTTGTTCTGACAAGGTTTACAGTAAAAATACTTTGAGAAAAGACTGTAATAAACTAATGAAACTACCGCAAGTTCACTAAGAAACCACAATTTCATGCAAATTTAGTAAAAATCCTATAAATAATTTTGACGTAAATGGACAGATTAAATTTTTTGTTAGTTTAACATTACCATAAGGATGGGATGTAAGCAAAGTCAAGGACAATAGAAGAAGTCAGTCAGCCGTTCCGTGCTGTTGCTCTATAACTAGATTTTTTTTTTCAATTTATTTTCGATTTTTAAATTATATAGTGCCTTCATGTGCATGTAAAAAATAATAAAGTTTTTAAATATTAAAAAAGGTTACAATAAGAAATGTGGGTAATGGTTGTTTTTACTCAGTACTAATAGTATTGTCGCCAGTACTGGTATGGTGAGATACAAACACAAATGCTCAACTGTTTATATAAGTATAATCTTTATATACTTGTTGAGAAAATTAAGAAATAAAGGGAATGATCAACTTTTATACCACATAATTACTAGAATCAATAGATCAATAATAGAAAAGAAGGAAAATCATTTTTACTTCACTCAAATCTTACTCATGTTATAACATAAGTAACTTATAAATAATTGTAATACTGATATCATTTTTGAAAAGGTTGTATCTCTGAGTATGTATACAAATTAAAATTATCAAATCAAAGCTCTATCAAAGCTGCCAACATGTCCAAAAGACAAGTAACAAATAAAAATAAAAAAAGGTATGGAAAACAAAACATACAGTCGAGAGCTTTCATATACTATTAATGTTAAATATCTTGCTATGCACTATGTAACGATTATCCTTAAACAGACTTTATGTAAACACAATAATATTATTGTACTTCCTCAACCAATAGTCAGCCCAAGTATTACTATAAAGCGAACTTAGCATATGTTTGATAATTATAAAAATGACTACGAAGTCTAGTATCAATTTTAGTGTGATTATTGAAGGCTGAGTCATGATCAATTTCACCCAATTCTATTTCCCCCTCTGAAGGGGACATTAGGCTATCTAGCTCCCACTATGTCACCATTCACATTAATTATTCAATTACTGGTTGGTAGCCTATGTTAAATGTGTAATAATATTAAATGTATATAACATTTAATATTTTAAGATTGATTTAATTGTTTTTTTTTTATTGTGTTTTCCTTAATAAACACACAATACCTATAATCTACTGGAAATTCCACAACAAAAAACAAGAAACAGTTTACCTTTACACAGTGACATTAAGTTAAAATTAAATTTTGTTTGTTTGTTGCTTAAAGTAAGTTAAATTGTTACTTATAGAATTCTCCTTTCCATAATAACTTCTTGTACGTCAACAAATCACATACATTTTCTATTACAGGTAGTTTTGTTTCTTTTTATGGTATGAAAAGAAACACTCAGTTTGTTTTTTGACTAAATTGCATATATACAAATTCTTAATCAAAATAAATGTAAGTCGGCGGTATAAAATAATATAATATCCTGTGCCACTCTTAGAACGTAATTCTAAGAAACATGTTTTACCATGAACTCTACAGAAGATATTATAGATGTTAAATATAATTATTTTCTTAATATTTTTATTTAATTAAAAAACAATGAGTCAAGTTGATTAATAATTCAGCAATTTTTTTTTATAAGTCATAGCCTACCATGTCATCAGTAAACTTACGTAGTACCGGCGTCTCGAACCGCGTACATTAGTGGAAACACGAAAAGATATAAACGTACACTGATAATATCATAAATTCATCAACAATTAGACAGCAATACAGCAAATATTATCGATAATTTTTATCAAATTTATTAGTGATCCGCCCTGATAAGCATAACCTAAAATTAATTTCACTTGCCTGTACAGCGCCTGTTCTTCAAGCACCGATAAAGTTCTTCACTTCTTCATACACTAATCCAGAAATAATATTGCACACTCAATAAAGATAACTCCGCGACCATTTAATAAAAAATCACAATTTAGATTCCGGTGACATTTGATGACATTACAGTATTATAAATATCAATTGTCAAACGTGACTATTGACTAAGGCATGGCTATATGGATTATAAACAAACAATTGTTTACTCCACAGATAACAAACACGTTAACTTTAATAAATTAACAGAACATTATTTGGCAAAGCGAAAAATATAGCGTCAATTACTGTAATCAGTATTAAAACATATAGTTTAAGTTTAGAAATAGTAAGACATATGTTAAAAATAATAATTATTTTTTATTAGGAACCCGCAAATAAAAATGTCCTTATTGGTCGGGTTTTCGACAACGTCACTTGCTTATAAACTATGCTAAAAACTGCTGTGCTTTCTAGTGTTAAAACAGTAATATTTTCGGCCATTACTAATTAAATAAATTTGTCACTCATTTTATTACTTCAATAACAGATAAAATGTTAAGTATATATTATGCTTGTAGACTGTAAATCATATCGTCCTACTCAAATGGCCAATATAGGTTGTGACATCACTACCTTATTGCAGTGTTATTTCACAAAATTTGCGTTCAGGCGTGCAATTTTTAATGATGGATTTTTATCATTATACGTATCAGAATTACAAATTATACTTTTATGGGGTTCCTTAACATCTGCCAAATAATATAAAGTACATTTTAAAAATCACTCAAATAGGCCAATGTAGAAAGCTTTCAATCCTTATAAACTTAAATACATTTGCAGGTTTTGTAATCTTATCATAATATTATTAGTCCTACTCGTACTATTTTTTCGGTATAAATCGATTTTTAATATTTTCAGGTCCTGTGATAATGAATGATAACACAGGAAGGATTCTCGAACTCTTAATACAATTAAACACAATCTAGAAATATTTATTTACTCAGCGCGCATGCATCGGTCAGAACAGCGTTTGAGACAATCTGGGTCGTTGCGACAGTGGCCTCTGCAGCTTGCTTGGCAACGAGTCACCGTCCTCACATTGCTTCGAGCGAAACGCTCGTCGAACATAACACTGGAGAGAGAAATATAATGAGAAATACTGTTTCCTTATTAACTGAGATCTTAGGTTGGTAGCAATAGGGTAAGTTGTAATGTTTTAACCATAATAAGTACTATCTGTATTTTACGCGAATAGTGCACGTTTAAATAAAACACATTTGACGGTCAATCAGAGAACACCGTGAGTCAGTTTCAGTCTGCAAGAACCCAGCCAGTTTTACCAAATACCAAATATAGCGGAAGAGATGGCGCTAGCATAGCAGTTTCAACTTTGACACCCTCCATTTTTAGTCCCTCCTTATCAACTGCTGGTGCAAAGCAGCGTAGCTGAGTGGCTTCCTATTATAAGGCAACTATATTGGTGTATTTAATTTAAGTATTTTTGACACTGACCGCCTCTGTAGCCAAATGACTAACGGTATTGCCTAGCATTGCGTTAAGCACGAGAGGTCTGATCAACTACTTGCCCCCTTAAAAAGTGCGGATCAGCGAAACGGACACAGAAATGTGTTCGCCCCATGCCCCACTTGTGGGAAACGGGCTTTCACACATATATTAAGTATAAATTAAATTTCTACTGCGCCCTATATTATGTTTGTTAGAATTATGTAGTTTGAGTTTCTGGACTTATTTTTTTTTTATCATAGAGGATGACGGACAAGCATGACGTTCATTTGGCTGTTTAAGCCATATAACATCTAAATACGATGCGCTATCGACCTATTTTGGCTTTGGATTTTCTATTTACATATATTAATAAATTGTTTAAGGCTTTTACGGTCATCGTTCAGCAAATCATTGTTTTTAGGACTATTCGCTAATTCTTATAATAATAGCTCCACACACCTTAAGTTCGGAACCAACACAGTAATATCTCCATCTACCTGTCAATAAACGGCACAGATGTACATGTAGCTGCGTCACAATGCAGCACCGGTGGAGCCACACTGGCAAGCAGCGACCCATCCTCCCCTATGACATAGGGGATGTGGTCTATATACACGTTGTCGAAGAGACACATCCGCTTCATATATTCTTCAGAGTGTGTAAACATTGTTGGTGGTATACCTGCAAAATGGCAAGAAAGAAGAAGAAGAAGTAGAATACAAAATCTTTTAACGACTTAAAACGTCTGTTATATTAGTTAAATATATTTCATAGAAGTTACCATGATGCCATGTCAGTTGTTCAATGAAAATTTAACGTGATTGAATTTGAACGTTACTTTGGAGGCACCGCCTCTGTAGCCAAATGCCTAGCATTGCATTTTGCGCAAGAGGTTCTGGGGTTCGAATTCCAAGGAAACAAAAAAAATGTTTGAAAACTTAAATATTTTTCACATTGCACACGAAGGCGCTGTATAGTTTTAAAATCGAAAATAAATTTGAAACAATTTTCAACTCGGGCAGGACTTGAACCGGCATCGTCAGCGTTCCGCGCTGTTGCTCTACCAATTGTGGACTCGGTAGATTTTTACAATTTTCGATTTTAAATTTTAAAAAATTTGTTTCGGTCGGGCAGGGCACAGAATTTGTTGTCGAAACCAGTTATAGAACGGATCAGTAAAACTTACACAAAATGGGGGGGGGGGGGGGGTGATTACACAAAGCAAAAATCCTCTTGATACTTACCAACTGCGTAGTAACGTGTGTTGCAAACGTGTTCTTGTATAAGCTCTGATCGGTTGTTGAACCATCCGATCAGCCACTTGAGGTCTTCGAATTTGGTGATCTCGTCGTTGATGACCTTCCTCGTCAACCTCAAGTACTCCACGTCGGCTTCGATCACGGATTCGTCCTTGTCTTCGCCGTAACTGGGTTTATAGGTGAGAAAGAGAAGACAGTTAAAATTAAATTATGTTTATTTATTTATGGCAAAGATACTCTATACTAATATTATAAAAAATATATATATTATAGCTGAAGAGTTTATTTTTTTGAACGCACTAATCTCACAAACAACTAGTTTAAATTATCACTTTTTTGTGTAGGCTGTAGCATTTTAGAGAAAGGCTTACGATATACAACATCAGATCAATAGAAGCAAAGAAACAGCGGGAAATGTGGAGAAAACGGGGAAAATTATTCATCTATGAGTTTCCAACTTCCATTGCGTGCTCTGCGAAAACGGTTCAAGATGCCCATGCATGCATGCATGATGCAGTAAAGAATTCTTCTTTTTTTTTTAATCTAAAAAAGTTCCGACGATAGTATGTGTATCTTTTTAAAATCAATTTGCTAGAAATTGAGACGCAAACGACGTCGTGGGTAACAGGTATAATTAATTTAAATAAAACACTTTAACGGTTTAAAACGCGATATACTTATTAGTTAAAGTGATTTGAAAATGATTTTTAACTTCGGCCCGACATTTCCCCGTGACCACGGCTGGTGCAAAGCGTCCGAAACGTCGGGCCGATGTTAAAAATCATTTTCAAATCAGTTTAACTAATATATCGCGTTTTAAACCGTTAAAGTGTTTTATTTAAATGTGCACTACTCGCGTAAACTATAGACAGGTATAATTAATCTAAATAAAACAGTTAACCGGTATAAAAATATATACGCACTGCGACACCATATCTGCTGTCTTGGTTAAAATTCTCAAATAAGTTTAACTAATACATTTCACGTTTTAAACCGTTAGAATGTTTTATTTAAATGTGTACTACGCGCGTTATAATTTAATTTATAAGAATGAAGCGGAGGTTTGCAAAAACATATTTGAATGCACAAAATAACTATTCTATTCTACAAAGACATTCATTTAAGTAAAACGCTTTAACGGTTTAAAATGCGCTATATATTATTTAAACTTGTTTGAAAATTATTTTTACTTTTATCTACACATTGTCGTGGCTTACTTTCTGTACTGCATCTTCAGGATAGCTTCGGACATGTGAATCCTGAAGATGACTCCAGGTCTCAGATGAGCCTGGTACAGGTCTTTTGGCATTTCCACGAAGGTGGACTCGTATTCCTGAAATAAACTTGCTCGTTGATATTTATTTGATAAGGCTTACTAACAGCTAATTAAGTATACAAACATGTTTTAAACAGATTATAGTAAGCATAACTCTTATGCACCTAACTTCTAAATATGCACATAGAGAGATAAAGACAATACTGAAAGCAAAACACGTAAACAGACGTAGTTAATTCTACTTAATAATATAATCTACTAGATGACCCGACAGACCTCATACTGCCTCATAGATAAAATATTAAAAATATAAATTATGTAAAAAAATAATCTACGCAACATATACGCGCCGCGAGACCATGTCTGCTGCACTGTCAAGTTTAACTAATATATATCGCGTTTTAAACCGTTACAGTATTTTATTTAAATGTATACTATTGCCGTAATCTACGGACAGTGTTTAAATATTTTAGGATATTAATACGCCCCTATTAATAGTTATATAGTAACAAAATTTGGTGTAAGCGCAACTCGAATGTGCCACAGGTATGTCTGTTTGCATATACCGACTAGAAACTGAACGGAATAACTTACCTTAGCAGGTGGTTCGTAGGTATCATAATTTGGTTTTGGCAGCCTCTTCCTCTTCTTCTTCCTTTTCGCCTGTTGTGTATCCCAACCTGGGGCCCGACGGGCTATCGGTACATCAGTTGTCGTAGCATTGATATACTAAGAGAAATGACAATATACAATGAAATAAATATATATTATAAGTAATAAATATAGTTTAAAATATATAATATCAACTTACGCTTAAATAAAACACTTTAACGGTTTAAAACGCAATATATGTTAGTTAAATTTGTTTGAAAATTATTTTAAACTACGGCCCGACGTTTCGAATGCTTTGCATCTGTGGCCACGAGGAGACTATAAAATACAAACAAGTTTAACTAAAATATATCGCGTTTTAAACCGTTTAAGTGTTTTATTTAAATGTGTACTACTCGTGTAAGCTACAGATAATATTTAATCAACTTACGTTTTCCTCTATAGTCGTGGTTCTTAGTTTGTTTCTTCGTCTGCTGTGGCTGCGCCGTCGCTTAAAAATAACAAATGACTATTAAATTTATTTTATTTAATGAAAATATTGAAATAACACTATTAACTGTTTAAGGAGGAATATTATATTATTAAACTTCACAACGACCCGACGTTTTTCGTAAAAATTGTTTAACGGACACAATATTGAAACTTAATTTTCGGGTCGCTTAAAAATAACAAAAAACTCTTCAATTTCTTTTATTTAATGAAAATATTAAAATAACACTATTAACTGTTTAAGGAGGGATATTATATCATTAAACTTGACAACGACCCGACGTTTTTCGTAAAAATTGTTTAACGGACACAATATTGAAACTTAATTTTCGGATATTAACCCCTTTTAAAACTGTACAACATCAGGTACTCAAATTGAGTCGCGTTATTGAAACATCTAACATTTTTAAACAATTTTTTTTAAAGCACGACCCGTACGGAATTTATTTATTTGGATCAAAATTAGAAATTGCACCTTCCCGTTGTCAGATTGATCTGAAATTTGGTACACACATTTAATTTAGATGACAATACAATATAATAAAAATCAATGACATTATAAATATATTTTTCCTTAACGGCTCAATATGGGTACCAAATGAAAGGACTACACTAGGAAAAGACGATGGTTATATGTCAAAATTTTGTAGTTTTCAGTGCACAAAAAATAAAACTGTTTAACTTAAAAGTTTTTTTAAGTTGATACTTGTACTTCTTTTCTTTAAATAAACACTTAACGGTTTAAAATGCGAAATATGCTAATATCTTGTTTTTAATTCATTTTAAATGTGATCTGACGTTTTGACGCTTTGAAGCAACAATGGTCACGGTTGATAAATTTCCCGTTTTAACCGTTAAATGTGTTTTATTCGATTGCCATTGTTTCGTTGTTTATACGTCTTTTCTTCTCTTATTATGTTTTCTTTTTAATTTATAACTCGAAAAATATTGCAACTACATATGAGCTACCTTCTTCAAAGTATTTAAGATTTTAACATTGTAAGTATTCTAAGGTTTTCATTTTTTTTTTACATTTTGGTACACACAATATACATAAACGCAATTAATTTTAACAATTATAGAATGCACAGGGCGGCTTTATCGCTATAATGGATCTCTTCTTAGCAACCCGAATAGTTTTGTTTGTATTGTACTTTACCAGTTTAAAACTTTAACTACGGCACGACGCGACGTTTCGGACGTTTTCAGCAGCCGTGGTTACGGGGACACTAGATCATTTTCAAATAAGCTTAACTAATATATATCGCGTTGTAAACCGTTAAAGTGTTTTATTTAAATGTCTACTACTCGCGCAAACTACAGACAGTAAGTATATTTTTGTGTTTGTATACCAATTGTATACTTATTGGCGCAGAATATATTGAATTAATTCCGACGAAGAAGGAAATTGAATAAAATACAACGTCAAAGCCAGAACTTTATTCCTCAACATCTTTAGGCTCAGTGATAGAATCGACAAACACCACAGAGTTGCACTCCGCCGCGTCACACTGTAACATCGGTGGTACTTCCACAGGACTCACAGAGTATTCATCGCCAATGACATAAGGATTCCCATCGATCCATAGAGCATCAAACAGGCAGTAAATGTGAACCTTTATCGTCATATAGCTTATGAACTTGTAGATCCTCCCCCCACACTCCCCCAAATGCTCCTTGATGCTCTTATCCGTTTTATACATTAGCAGCAGGTTGTGGAACTTCGTAATCTCATCCATCACCACCTTCTTGATGAGGTTCGTGTATATTATATCTGCCTCTATGTGCCGTTCTGGGTCTTCGTACATGCGCTGTTTGATGCGCAATATCGCGTCTGACATTCGTACGCGAAAGATGACACCAGGGTTCATGGTTTCAGGCAGGATCCCCGGCTTCTTGGTGGATGTGGTGAACTCCAAGATACGGTCTTTCACCGGTTCCGGGTAGATGTAGTGGTTGGGGCGTTCGCGGACGGCGGGACCGCTGAGTGTGTTAAAACGCCTCGTGTTCTGTTGAAAATAGTCTATTTCAGTTTATGCACTGTGGTCGCAGCGTGCGTCATTCTTGACATATAGTTACGCCAGTGTTTAATTAATGTCTTGTCTATGAAACGAAATGTACTTTGATTACTGGAAACACGAACGGTGCTGGATATTAGAAGTATCTGTATACTTCTAATATCAAGTAGCTTTCATATTATTTTTTCAGTTCATATTTTCGCCGAAAATTCAACAATCGCCAGTAGGTAAGTAGGTAGGTGGGACTCGGTAGTTCAATTGGTAGAGCACGGAAAGACAGTGTTCGTGTGCGATCGCTGACGATGCCGGTTCAAGTCCTACCCGAGTCGAAAATTTTTTCAATTTATTTTCGATTTTTAAATTATATAATCGCCAATATCTTCGTGATTACAGCCGCCATACGACGACCAAAGCGTCGAATCGTAGTATAAAAAAACAACACTATTCGCGTTTTAAACCGTTAAGTACAATGTAATAATTTATTAGTACGCCGTGACGCTTCGTAATGGCACATAGTCAAACGAAAGAATTTTCCAATATTTGTAGATATATAATATTATTTGTTTATTTACAGTCTGTGTATGTATAGACTAGAGAACACGCAACATCCAGTTGAATATGTGAAAAGTGACAGCGTCATCTTTTGGAAGCGAGGAAAACACTCGTTGACAACCGTAATAGTAATGGCGCGTCAAAGGTACACAGCTGATCGATTAAAAATTGTGTTTAGTTGTTGCTGATGTGTTACTGATGCAAATAGGATTATAAAATAATAAGATAAAATCAATCCTTGATGCAGATTGTATATCTTGCTAAAATTTCAGCTCAATCGGTGATCTGTTTGAAATGGTTCAAGTCATGTAAATACATTCGAACAGTGAGACGGAATCAGAAATATGTATGTCCTATACTCAACAGGGAAAACGGTATTTACAATTTTTCTGAAACATGTGCTTAGTGTGTATATATATTAGCATTTAGTGTGTATATATATATCTAAGTAATATATATATGGGCGGCATAAACCCCTTAGATGAAAAGCCGCCGACTTTAATCGCGTTTCGGCTTCAGTCTGTGGCCAAATAGATCGATAGCGCATCTTGTTTAGATGTTATATGGCTGGGGTATTTCGTCTACTATGAACTTGTAGATGCTCGTCTGTCCGTCTCTAACACACAAGAAACCAATATTACAGCCTTACCTTGGCTCTTCTCTTGACTCGGTTGTTGTCTGTATTGTCTGCTGCCTTCGCGAGGATTTCATCAAACTTGGAGAAGTCAAACGGCGCCCAGGGATCAGCTTCAGTTGTAGATTTCTCTTCAGCACCGACCTGCAATATTTTTAGATTACGTGAGACGTATATATTTCTTTATGATAAAGGACAGACAAACACGGAGTCCAATTGATGGGTAAAATATTGCAGCTATGTAACATCCAGTGGCCTCGGAACTTTGGGGCAACTTTTCGGAAAAAGTTAAATTTATTAAAAAGTTTAACTTTTTGTCGCGTTTTAAACCGTTAAAGTGTTTTATTTAAATGTCTAATACTCGCGTAAACTACGGACGGTATTAATGCTTCAGATGGCAAAAAAGCCTTCACCTACGGTTATTTACCTAGTTCAACTTAGCTAGTAAAACATAAAAATAGAATTAAAATATAGGTATATACAAAGGAGAACAGGGATTACCTTTTCGTGTGGTATTTTTTTAGCGGACATCATGTTCACAGGCTGATCGAAGATGTCATCTTTCACCTGAAACAATACAAGTATGTAGCAACAGACCGTTTCCAAAATGGCCGCCGAAAACCCATATTTTTTCGAAATTTCCAACTTTTGAAAATGCAATCATTTTCAACACTATATTCCACTAGCTGTGCCAGCGAATTCGTCCGCATTGAATACATATTTTAGTCGTACAAATTTAATTTTGCACATGCTTTTAATAAATTATGCCTGTTACCCACGACGTCGTTCGCATCCGTTATGCACAGGGACCATTTTCAACCTAGCTTCGCTACTGGCTGTTACGAGTAACCGAATAAACAAACAAACACTTTGCTTGTATTTTAAGATATTTGATATCGATGTTTGTTTTGAAAACTCTAATATTTTCCCATTTTTAAAAAGGATTCAAGAATAAAAGTAGCATAAGACATTGAACCTTATTTTAGCAGTATTAAGGTTAAAATTGCATTGCGCGAGAGGTGCATGTGTTGAGGTTGAAAAAAAATCGATGACGGGTAGGACACGGAAGCTCAATTATTTAGACTTTAGAGCCTAGAACGTCCCCGACGACGACTTAACCAAAGCCGTCGATTTACTTGTCGCTATGCGATCGGCCGACACCGGCGCCGATCGCCCGCAAAACCGCCTACGCCGGCGTAGGCGAGGTCATTCGCTACGCGTACCGCTCTCCCGGGTGAGCTTCCGTCCAGCTCCTCAAGCTCCCACCCGCATTGCGGCGGTCCAAGCCGAGGCCGATGCCCCCCTCGCCCAAAACGCCCGGTTAGCATTCGTGGCTCCGTCGGAACATAATACGAAATAATCATTAAAAAAAAAAGCATGGAACGGTTGCAGGTGCAGTCCCATCCGTGTCATATTTTTTTTAAACTAAATAGATTTTTAATCAATATTGGTATAGACAAAGGATACTTACATCAGGATAGTTGAAGTCGAAATTTACTGCGGAGTTTGCGTTTGACGTTGTTATATACAAGAGCTATGGGTAAACATACAAAGGTATCATTTAATTACATGAATTAACGGTTTAAATCGTAAATTTATTTTGAAGGGGCCATTTATTTATTAACTAAGACGATTTTGGGAGGATTTAGGTTGGCAAAGTATTATTTTTTTCTGACAAGGGGGTGGGTGGGAGTTTTTACGTAAGAATACAATTTTTAAAATTATTTTTAATGAGTGGGTTTTTAGCTAATGAAACTCTAATGAAGGTGAAGATTTTTCACATGAATGATTAAAACCAAAATTTATTGCTACAAAAAAAATATTAGCACCGTTGTAACTATGTACATGTTTAATTATTTAAAAAAACCTTTAGATTCTTACAATTTTCTTTTTCTTCTTTCAAGTGTTAAATATATAAAAGGAGGAGAGATAGGCTTATTCTTATTTTTTTTATAAAAGGGGAAGCGGTTAAAATCTAGGTAAAATTATTTCACGTAATCAATTAATAATTTGAAGTTTGTGGATTTCTGAATACCCAAATCAAAAATAGGTCGACAGCGTAACATGTTTAGATGTTATAATGGCTGGGTTAATTAACCATCTATTAAGTAAACTCCATTCCTCTTCTGCTCAGTCTGCTCTTTCTACCAAAAAAAAAGAAAAATTTTAGGAGAAACAGCTAGATAACATAACGCGTTACCGCTGTGTGCATACAAAAGCTGAAGGCACATTATTTGTGGACATTTGTTCGTGCCACAAAGGGCGTTTTTGATACGAGCATTCAATGTCCAGCTGGACCCAGTGGAAAACGAAGCCATGGCCCGTTATTTATCGATACATTGGGCCAAGAGTTTAAAAACCTAAGAAAATTTCGACTTACCAAAACAAGAAGCATGTTTGCTTGTTAACGAAAAACTAGATTGTTGGACTTGTTACCAAAAGAAATATCGCTTATCAAATTCAATCAATTATTTTTAACAGCTTAACTATATTTCCGTATCACGCATATTAAAAAGTAACTAATGTTTGCCGCGGATTTTGCACGTTTTGGCTCGTTGGTTTTTCGTAGCAATCTATGGATTATTACGGGTTGTGGGTTCGACCTCAAATGGGTCAAACCTGTTCCTTCCTTATTTATATGCCGTTGGAAGTCTGGAAATCTGGATATTAAATAGGAAGTAGGAATATCGAACCACCGTCAATAAATAAAACAGCTGTGGAGTTTTATTGCGTTTTGGTTTTACTCACTGGATTTCCCAAGAACCGAAGCCACAATCGGCAGTGCATTTTTCAAGATTATACAAGGTTATTCCTACTTCATGCGCAACCTGAAAGTAGTTTGTCAGAATCAGTAGCAGAATCCATTCCAATAGTTTTTACACCACGTTATATTTTTTACATAAGTAGAACTAAATAGGTATAAAAATTCGGGGAATCCGCGGCGGCCGCTCGTCGCTTTGAACGCGCGCTTCTTGTCTACTAGAGTCAGTGCGTGCTCAACTCTTTCGCGGTGATTCCGAATTGCAAACAAGAGATTGCGAATCCTACGGACGTCTCATCGTTTCGCGTTGCTTTTTAAGTGTGTTAATGACAACCGTGTCTTACAATTATACCAATGTACAATATGTGGAAATGGTGCGAACACTTGCTTTGTGTGGTGATAATGTTGCCGAATCAGTGAGACGTTATCATGAACAATTTGGCATCTTGGTATCACGGAACATTTACATAAAAGTAGTGAATCGTGTAGTGTAAGGTGCAGGACGCAAAGCGGAGGAGAGGGAGGGTTTGCGAGATAGCGCGCTGCGTCGGCGCCTGTTCAGTGACCATGATAATGCGGGATAAACAATAGCATGAAAAAAATTTATAACTTCGTGAGTTTTCATTATTTTTTAATTTTGATTTTTTTATCCTGATTCTGCGAGTAAAAAGACGTTTGACGTGTTTCAGCTTTAGTATCAACAAATAATAACCTTCTATATGGTTGCAAAAATGCCCATTTGATTAATTATTATTTAATATAAAATACTACATTTAATGAATACTAGGTGTCTCCCTGTACACGAAGCATCAGGTCGACGCTTACGATAATTCTAATAAATTTCTTATACTAAAATGGGTACGGCAACAGTGGAGTCACATTCCGATATATATTATACCTCCATCTTTAGTCTCCCCGAGACCACGGCTGCTGCAAAGTATCCGAAACGTCGCATAGGGACGTACTTAAAATATTTCTCAAATATGTTTAAGTAATGTATATCGCGTTTTAAACCGTTACTGTTTTATTAAAAAGAAGCAAATAGTAATAGGAAAGACGAACTATGGGAATTCGATGTTACACTGATTGAATGGTGCGAATTCCTGTTTCCCCCGTGTGGGGCATGGGACTAATACTTTTCCGTTTCATTGATCAATTTTCAAATTATGCGAGTAGTAAATAAAACACTTTTAGGTTCTATTCGACCTAAATATCGACTAAGTCGAAAAAGGGGGCGCTAGCATAGCGGTTTTGAATTTTAGGGATGAAGTCATTAAAGCTAGTAATAGATAAAACATAAAATGATCCCTCTTGCTTTAGCTCGGCCTCTGAAGGGGCCACAGAATATCGGTGTCGGGACGTGTGGCTCCCTTTTCCGAGTCAACTACATTATCACATTTAATTAAAGCAAGAATTAAATTTATATTTATTACTCCCCATTTTATACTTGCTAGAGTCAGTTTTATTTGCAAATGTAATTTTTAGTTTAAAGTTTTTTATTATTTAAAAAGATATCGGAACCGAAAGTCCATCATAATTCGGTTGGAATTCGCTTTCGGTTTAATCAAACAAAAGGCTTATCAAATAGCGTATTTATTTCACAAATAGCTATACACTTCGGAACCGAATCCCCACCCCTTGACCTGGTTGTCGATCCACTCCCTCAGGTTTCCAACATCCACGTAGACTCCGGGTGTCCCATCTTGGCCACATCCGATCCCCCATGCGACTATTCCATTCTGCACGAAACGGTCCTTTTCGTACTGAAAAAAAAATGCAATTAGACTTTTTTAATGATAAAGAAGGACAGACAACCATGGGGTTTACTCAAGGTGAAGTACCCCGGCCATATAACATCTAAACAAGATGTGCTGTCGATCTTTTTTGGCTTTGGGTACTCGGAAATCTACAGACTGCAACCGAAACGCGATTAGACTTGAAGGACAAAAGTAAGTTAGCTAATATGTATCGCGTACTTCATCTTTAGAAGGTTATCGTAAAAATGATTATATTGATTTTGTTTTGGGTTATTTCTCAAATACATATAAAGATTTAAGAGTTTTCGAATATTCAAACCCAAAACAGCTCGACAGTCTGCTTGTCTGTGCTCCATCGTAAAAAAAGAACAAATGCGTTGTACCAATTAGAAGTGAAATAACAATATGGAGTTTCTATAACTTACCGGTACTGGGCATACAAGCGGGGAACCCCCGTCTCCCTTACACGTGTCTTTTCCAGGTTCGCCGCCTGCGCACATGAATGATGTGTGCAGTTCAAAGAAATTGCCCAAACGCGTCTTACGCAACGCAGCCTGACATTGACGCCGGTCCACTACTGGCACTTCCAACTGAAAAAATATCAAATTTATTTAAATACAGCTAAATTTAAATAAGTATAACTAATATATATCACGTTTTCAACCGTTATATATAAATGTGTACCAGCCGGGTAAACTACGGACAGCATATAACAAATTTAAAATGATTGTTATGGCTTCATCTATACTAGCTTTAGGTATAGCTGAAAAGTTTGTTTGAACGCGCTAATTTTGGGAACTATGGTTCGAAATGAAAAGTTCTTCTTGTCGTGTTGCTTATAGCATTTATCGATCAAGGCTATAGGCTATGATCACTGTGATTATTAGTGAAAAAAACGGGGAAAGTTATTCTTTAAGGAATTCCGATGCGTACGCTGCGATAATGGTTCAAGATACCAAAAAAATATGACGAAACCTTAAAACCTTTTTTTAATATTAACTGGCAAGAAGGGCGTGGCGCTTCCAACGTCGTGGGTAACAGCCATTATTTATAAAGATTTGCGAAAACAAATTGTTATTGACCAAAATATCTATTCTACGCGAACGAAGTAACTGACACAGCCAGTGTTACATATAAAATAATAAATTTAATAGCCCGTCGTGAAAATAAAAATGTGTATTGTGAGTAATTTGTAAAACAAATACTATAAAATCATTTTTTTAATTACTCTGCTCTTCTTGATTCGTGTCTTACCTTCTTCAATATGACCTGGTATCGCCCCTCTTTACTGAACTTGTCTTTGCCCCAGCCTGAAGCGAAACACTGGGTTCCTGCGATAGCCCTCTCGCGTGGTGGTGGGAGACAGACCACGCCCACATTCGGGGCTAAATCCACTGGAGACGACAACAGTAGCAGAGCAATATCGTAGAATAGGTTGTCTGAAATACATACATATCCTGTCTGTAGTTAACGCGAGTAGTACACACTTAAATACAACGGCTACACTCATCTGTTTCATCAAAGTTTCGCCAAATACCAACCTCGATGGCACAGACGGCGCTAGGGTAGCAGTTTTTTATTTTGACGTCAGAGACAACCTCAATGTTTAGTCTCCTCGTAACCACGGCTGCTGTAAAGCATCCGAAACGTCCAGTCGTAGTTAAAATAATTTTGAAATAAGTTTAACTAATATATATCGCGTTTTAAGCCGTTCAAATAACAACGCATCGTATATAGATATTATAATCTGGTGTATTTCGCCTTCAAATGAACCCTGTGCTCATTCTTCTCTATCATAAAAAACTTACTTTTATTGAAGTCTTTGTGGACGGCGATTTCCGCGACATTTCTGTCCTGGTACGGATAGATCTCCTTCGTGGTCTGGGTGTCCCATTCCCCAACTCGAACCGCGAACTGCTTAGATGTTGCGACATAGTGGGCCGCTGTTAGGACCACGGATGGGTGGATCAAGGACCCACCACCCACGTACACGTTCAGCTTGCGTCCGTTGGGATCGTCGCTGTTGACTGGTTCTATCCTGGGATCAACGTAATTGAGACTTTGTGTTAGATTATAAGACGCTCTTGGTGTGGTTTAGTGGATTGGTAACAGCATGCTGGAAGTCTTGGTTGTTGTTAATTGGGGACAATTGAAAGAGGGCAGCATAATCAGTCTAAATTATTAGCTAACCATTTCACTAATTTCCCAGTCTTCGTTAACCTCTCACTAGTCAGTACTAACTTAGTAGTAGATAGTGAATTTCTGTTTTCCCCTTCAGCGCGTATAATAACAAAGCGGTTGACATATATTATATTTTCAGGTGTGAAAAACAGGACTATATTATATCTTATCGTAAAACTTCTACATGATAGCATATGCCATATGCAAAATGTGAATAAAATTCCATGCCTTGTAATTTAAAAATCGTAAGTATATTGGAAAAATATTCGACTCGCGCGGGACTTGAACCGACATCGTCAGCGCTCCGTGCTGTTGCTTTACCAATTATATAGTGCCTTCATGTGCAATAACATGTAAAAATATATTAAAAGTTACCATGCCTTGTATTTTACTTTTCCTAAAATACTACACTCGACAGTTTTTTTCCAGAATGGTTTGAAATGTTTAAAGCTTAAACTCAAACTTTTGCTGCCATTTTGCAAATCTAGTTTTCGCGTCTCGCTTATTTAATTAATATTTTGGCTGACATGCACAAACAAATTATCCGAAATTGAATTGACCAAATAAGTAAAAAAGTATTGTGAAATACGTATGTATAAAAAACAACTTTTAAATAACGATTGCAACCAAAATGTAAACATACACATGCCCGTGCAAAACCCTTCAAAATTATTCGGAAATAACTCACTTGAGTATAGCGACCATCCAGGGGAATTCCCCGAATTTAGCTTCGCCATCTTTGTCGCCTGTGATGCGGAAACCAACACCATCTGGGTTACGCCAACCGCAACCTTCGCGCTACAAAAAAAAACCAAACATATTTTAAACTAGATGTGTAGGCGACTTCGTCTACGTAGTAAAAATATTTTGGGCGTCCAAATTTGTTTTTGCAAACGCTTCTATGTCGCAGTATGTTTTATAGCCTAAAGCCTTCATTTATAAATGCTCTAACCAAAGCAAAAAAAGAAAACACAAATTTTCCATTCGAACCAGTAGTTCCTGAAATAAGTGCGTTCAAACAAACTAAATCTTCACCTTTAGAATATTAATAAAGATGTCATTTAAAGTAAGATCTAATAATAATAATAATAAAGTGATAACAATATCATATATTTTTCAAAATATCTGTTTGGTTTTTACCTTAGGTTCCGTAGGCGGTGGTGGAGTGATAGGGTTGTCTGGTGGTCTCGTGTCTGGTGTCGAACAGCAAACATCCAGATACGACGGACAAGGACCGTCTTGGACTCTGAATATTTAAAATATTCATTATACTTGGGTAAAATCATAACGAGTTTTAACTAAAATATATCGTTTTAAACCGTTAAAGTGTTTTATTTAAATGTGTTAAACTACTCGCGTAAACTACAGACAGTATATAATTACTCCAGCCAAATTCGAAACATCTCAGTCAAATTTATTAATCTACTCATTTATTTTGAGTTTTAAACGGTTTTGTTTAAAGTAAATATATTAGGACATTGTGATAATGTTTTACAACCATTAATGATCTATGTCATATTATATGTTTTAAATCTAGTAAAGAATTATCTAATATATAAAATTCTCGTGTCACGGTGTTCGAACTTGAACTCCTCCGAAACGGCTCGACCGATTTTCACCAAATTTTATATGTGTATTCAATAGGTCTGAGAATAGGATATATCATCCCCCTAAGTGATAAAGGTTGTTCACCCTTAATTATTTTTTTTTATTTTTTGACGAATTTTTGTTTAATTTTTTTCTAATGTGGCATTAAAAAATACATACAACCCTAAACTTTCACTTTTTTATCACGAACCCCTATTTTTTTATAGCCATTAGTAAAATTACTTATATGGCAAAACAACGTTTGCCGGCTTATCTAGTTGTTGTATAAAAATTACTTTGGCGGGCTCGTTGGTGTAAAGGTAGCAATATGTGGCTAACAATCAACGGGTCGTGGATTCGATTTCCACCGGGTCAGTCATGTTTCCATATGAAAATAGTCTGTGGTTTGCACGAGTAGTACACATTTAAATAAAACCCTTCAACGGTTTAAAACACGATATATATTAGTTAAACTTATTTCAAACGTCCGGCCGCATTTAAAATTATTTTCAAATAAGTTTAACAACTATGTATCGCGTTTTAAACTGTTTGTGTTTCATTTAAATGTTTCTATTCAATTTTGAAAATTTTCTGAAACATGTTGCATTTCATCTGGAACTCTGGAAATTAAATGGATGGTTGGAAATTTGGTTCGGGTCACGAACACCTTACAGTGCATCTTGTCAAGATGTTGTATGAGTCTATTCTAAAAGTACCAGATTACTCACCGAATATCAATAATTCCTACACCATCTGTGATGATGGAGTTATTTGTGTTGCACAGATAATAACGAACGCATTCACCAGACTTTCCATCGTCTGTAGTGCAGGGGGTCTGCTTGTCTGTGTCTGTAAATGGTTTAAGTGAACTGTAGTATTCTAGTGCATTTAATTTATATAGAATTAGATTAAAACATTTTTATAAAGTAAATGCAATTTAAAATGATAAAAATCCATAGTGTTCCGTGCTGTTGCTCTAACCAGTTGAGCTACCGAGTCCTACACGTCATCAATTTTTTTATTCTTTTGATATATGTATGAACATCCCGCGCATATATATAGTGAAAAAAAATGTCTTCTTTTTTGTTTCTCTTTTACGATTCGTAAAGAGCTATAGGCATTTTTTTTAATAAAATATTTTCTTATGCTTGTCTATATGACAGGCACAAAAAGACTAGAAATTGCTTTTTTAGGGACCACAATTAGGGAACCTCAAATTGTGGTCGTAACTTCGAGACCCACACACGTGAGATTATTTTTCTATCTAAATAGATTTTTAAATAATTAGATTCGACTTTGTTTTACCTGGATTCGAACCCAGGAGTCTGTGTTTAACGCAACTAATGCCTTTAACTATTGCACCACGGCATCCATCAAGGCTTTATATTAACTAACTACTACTGTCGATGTCTTACCCTGAGGCTGCACTGGTGGTACTAGGGTCGACGGTTTAAGATTTGGCGTTGAAGCAGTGGGATTATTAGGCGTAGGGGGATCCCCGAAAATCTGTTTGATGACCGCGTCTAAGTCCCCGGACTTGTCCTGGCATCCGGCCAGCGACAGAACCGCGATAAATACCAAAAACCTTATCATCTGTAAAATACACAAAATATTACATATGATTTAGCATATCTTTGTTTTTCGATCTGTTCGGCCGACGTGAGCGAGAAGAGGTTTTCGACGTTTCGCCATCACGTGCGGACGGCATCATCAGGAGATGTTAACTCCTCGATTGAGCTTCGGCCGAACAGCCCGAAAGACAATGATATGTGTAGGTAAATATCAAACCCCGATAAGTCACACCCATACTCGAAACTGAACTATGAATGGCGCTAAATTTGAAATTTACTTGTTTTTATGATACTTTATTCCAAATCACGGTAAGTCCCCAAAAAACTCACAAAAACGAAGGTTAAAATCGACGATTTATTTCAAACTCCGGTATGTCTATAGATAAGTTAAAATCAAACTCAAGTAAGTCCACATTGACCAATCACAGCAAATTATAGCGTCCAAGATGGCTGTTAGTTAGAAGATTGCTGTGAGAACTTACACTTCGTTGTCGTTTATTTTATTAGATTGTTTGGGGAAAATGCATGATAACAATGTAAGAATTTGTGTGCTGAATCCTGAAAAAGCAAAGAAGATGTATGTGTCAAATGTTAAGAAGAATAATGTCGAAAAGAAGGCTAAAAAGTAAAGCAAATCCTAACGTAATAGTGCGTTTGTTGCAACCGTTAACGTTTTGAAAACCAGGGTTGTACAAATGTTAAGAATTAAACATTTGAATTAATATTACTTTTTTTTCTATTAAAACATATGTATATTTTAGAGTACTGGCATCTGGAATACAGCCGTGAAAACGTAAGTTCATACATTAAAAGGTTTATGGGGTACGCTCAACATGCATCTGCTTTGTGATTTCAAATTACTTCATAAACATTTTGGCACTGACTGGCATCAAATCCCTCAGTTGCAATATTAAATATCTTGCAAAGAAATATAGAACTAGTTGGTGACAGGGAAGAAGACATAATAAATAATTCCGAAGACTATGTTATGGATGAGATCTAACATTTTGTTTGATTAGTCTACCTGTTACTAAATTAAACTACTACATGGTAATAAAAAGATCTGTGTTTTATTTTATGGTTTAGTAAAATATTATGACGAAGCAACCCTAATTACGAGATTAATATAAGATTTGTCAAAACCAAGTAAGTCCTATAGCTATTTTTCAATAGCCGTTACGTCCACAGTGGTATTTTTCAAACTCCGATATAATGCCTGTAGTTCCGATCAAACATAGATATGTCCAAACTTTAACATGGTTTTAAAGCATAATATCTTATTAAAACTTTATTTTTATACATCCTTCTACTCACTAACGCCTATATAAATCCCCAATTGCTAAAATTTCCATGAAATACTTTTATCAGTAGCTAAAAACACATTTCTCTCATTTCCCAAGTTTCGTTTATGGTGGACATACCGTGATTTGATATTTGCCTACACATATGCCGAACGATGGTCGTGAAAGCCTCACACAATGCATGATTAATTTAGTTTTTATACAAATAAACATAAATACTTTAAATTACAAAGAGAAGAAATTACAAGAATATGTAGCGAGAAACGACGGTCTTATCGCAATAAAGTGTTTTCTTCCAGGCAATATTGTAGATGGAGATTTTAATGTTTAATTTTATCTTTATAAGTACCCTTATATACTTATGTTTCTTTTAATGTTGTTATCATTGTTAATTTATTCATTATATATATTTACTAGCTATGCCCGCGACTTCATCCGCGTGGACTTGGCGTATATTTTTAAATTATTTTGAGTGTTTATTAATTTATGTAAGGGCGCATTTCAGGCAGCCAATCTATGTTGTAAGTGCTACTTTGCCGCACTCTCACCTCACATGACTCCTACTCTAACTTCCACTCTTATTCTACACTGAATCGCACTCCCACTCCCACTCCTATTCCCAAAAAGCCAAAGAAGACAGTTTCATTGTTCTAGCTTCAACAACCACGAATTTCCATACAAACTTTCATCCCGCTTTTCAACCCCTATCAACCCCTTTTTGGCATTAAGCCTATGTCCTTTCTCAGGCTCTAAAATATCTGTGTACCAAATTTCATTTAAATCAGCTTAGCAGTTTCGGAGTTAAACCCGGACAGACAGACAGAGTTACTTTCGCATTTATAATATTAGTATAGATAGTAGAGATAGTAAGAATGAAGTAGTCGTACAGACATAATATATATTATACAGGATGTTTACTGCATTGATATCAAACCTCATCAACATTATTAACTAACGCAGTGATGACTTAGATGATAGTTAATAACTTGATTGGCCGTTTTGCCTTTTTACCTTTGACCTTTTTACCTCATATAGCTCAACAATCGTGTTTTTTGTCTATCTTGTTTTAGGAAAAAACTTGTTTAGTTTTATAAATTACTTCGAAATATTGTTCAACGCTTTGCTTACTGTTTAACCGCCTCTGTAGCTAAATGGTTATAGGTGTTGCCTTGAGTTTAAGCGCGAGAGGACCTTTGTTCGACTCCGAGGGAAACAATAGATTTTTTCGGTGGGGCAGGGCACAGTCTGAACAACTACTTGTAAATAAAACTGATCAGTAAAACGGACACATTTCTGTTTCCGTTTCAGTGAACATGCCCTATGGGGGGGGGGGGGGGATTTCACACGCGTTACGAAAATTCATGGAAATTCCAGAAAAATACATAATTTTGGTAAGATAGGGTAACTTCAATTTTAATTGGTAAGTTGAGCACATGAGGAGAACAATCTTTTAAGTATTGGCTTTTAAGTGAGTACAGATTAAAATAAAACACTTTTAACGGTTTTAAATGCGAAATGTATTAGTTAAACTTGTTTTCTATTTATTTTAAATAATGGTCCATCCGTGGTCACGCTTCTGCAAAACTTACCAAACGCCAAGTCGTACTTATACAATCGTATTGGATATTTCGTGTTTTAAATCGTTAAGTTTTATTTAAATGTGTACTACTGTTAAGAGTATTTCTTTGTCATATTATATTCCCTCATCGTTAACTATGGTCAAAGCCTCTTTCACTCAAACAATTCACAACATCTTCGCTTACAATAAGTTCATCTACGTTTTAACGGCTTGAAACACATTAGTTCGGGCCGTAGTTAAAATCATTTTCAAATAAGTTTAACTAATATATATCGCGTGTGGCTAACACGATAGTGTTTTATTTTAATGACACACACATACATTTAAATAAAACATTTCAACGGTTTAAAACGCCATATGTTTTAGTTAAACTTGTTTGAAAATTATTTTTCACTACGGAGAGTCTCCCCGTGACCACGGCTGCTGCATAGAAACGTCGGGCGGTAAAATATATCGCGTTTATTAAAATATTTATATATACATTTTTATTTTTTTACACATGGCAACACAATGTTTGCCGAGCTAGCTAGTATATTTATGATCGGTAACCGATTAACTAATATTTACCTCAACATAATAATGTCATTTACATCAAAGATTACAGCCATTCCTAGAATGTAGGTTTTTACAAAATGGCGGATTGAAAAAATTCTAGACTTGCTGGCTTTGATGTGGGGTTTTCCCTTGCTTGCACTGGGAAATACCGTGGGGTACTTCTAATATACTAACAGAAATACCTAATTACGTAATGTTTGTTGGTTTGTGTAGGCTTTAAATACTTCAACGATTGTTTTTATCTATTAGTAGCTGTGCCAGCGACTTTGTCCGCATAGAATAGTTACTTTGGCCATCAAAATGTGTCTTTACAAACCTCGTCCTCATCTGTACTAATCACTAACTGTGTCAGCGACTTCGTCCGAATTATTTTGTGCATTAAAATTTTGTTTTTCAGAACTACCCTCATCTTTCCGTCGTCCCTCGTCGTCCGCGTCCGTCCTTCCTTCGAGTTAATATTAAAAGATAGACACAAACTGTCGGGGATATTTTGTCCTCGTTTTATACACATTTCCCACTTTTTCTTCGCTCCTATTAGAGCGATGTTTTATAGTCTAAAGCGTTCCTCGATAAATGCTCTAAACAACACAATCAGAAAAAAAAAACAATTCGAACCACCAGTTCCTGTGATTAGCGTGTTCAAACAAACAAACTCATCAGGTGTATAATATTAGTATTAAAGTAAAGAGTAGGTAAAATTATTATTAATTAATTGCTAGATAAATATGTCTTAACTATTCCATATAAACAAGTTATCGGAACTTGAACTTCGAGAGACGAGATTATGGAAATAGGTCAATAACCTTTTATACGTATATCTTCGCTGGGATGCGCAGGAGTTGAAATATGTAAATATTAAATACTATCTATAGTGTACGCGAGTAGTACTTACACATTAAAACGCGATATATTAGTTTAACTTATTTGATAATGATTTTTAACTTCGACCCGACATTTCGGATGCTTTGCAGTCACGGCGGATTATATTTCACGGTTTAAACCGTTAACGGCGTTTTATTTAAATGTGTAACTCGCGTAGACTACGAACAATACTAAATAGACCTTTCCCCTCCCATCACCCGAATAGCCGCACCTTTGCAGCGGTCTCCGCGTGACCACGGCTGCTGCAAAGCAACCGAAACGTCGGACCGAAGTTAAAAATCGTTTTCAAATAAGTTTAACTAATATATCCCTTTTTAAACCGTTAAAGTGTTTTATTTAAATATGTAAATATTATTTATTATTGTACAATATATTTAGTATTTACTTGCATAGATGTCGATCGAGCAAATTTTTTTAGTATTCCGAAATTTTTTGGAGTTTATTAGATTTTGTGGGAAGTAAGATGTACATTTTTAGATTTCAAATATTGCACAACACAGGCAGGACTGTACGTCAACGTTTTAAGATTGAAATTACAATGCGCGAGGGTTGCAACTTGCAAGTATCGGTAGGTTGATACTTGCAACAAAAATCGACGATGACCTTTTAAACAAAACACTTTTAATGGTTTAGAACGCGAAATATATTATTTAATTTACTTATTTTAACTACAGCCCGACGTTTTGGAAGCTTGGCTTATATTTCACGGCTTAAACCGTTAACGGCGTTTTATTTAAATGTGTAACTCGCGTAGACTACGAACAATACTAAATAGATCTTTCCCTTCCCATCACGCGGATAGCCGCGCCTTTCTACGCTTAACCTCGCTAACCGAACCGGACCTGTACGTGTGACCTTGCCAAGTCATAAAGTCAGGTCGCCATTTTTAATGCTCGTCTGATTTTTTAGGATTCCACGAATCAGCTATCGAAGATAAAATGGTTGTTAATATCTAAAGTAATTATTAGTTTTTGGGATCCGCATTTGGGGATTTTATTAATATAAACGGCGTCTGCGCATCTTGTTTATATGTTATGTAAGCCACATACCATCGTTAACGATGCGCTGTCGTCCTATTTTGGCTTTGGATATTAAGAAATCTTATTATTATTAAATCACAGACTGCTTCCAAAACGCGATTATACTTCACGGTTTTTTTATCTGTGGAAATTTCGAACCATTTAATACGAATGAAATTCCAGACGAATCCTAACTTGTTTAAGAAAATTATAAAATAGAATTTATGAGAAATTGAAAAAAAAAATAGAACTGTCAAGGGTAATTTATGAAATGGTGGTATGTATTTCTTAATACCCCTCTTATTACACAGAAAAGAAAAGAAGTCTGATTTCTAGAAAATAACTTATTAATGATTATTATCTATGTTAAAATTTAAAAGTAATTATTGTCTATGGTTTAAATACTGTCTATAGTTTACGCGAGTAGTACACATTTAAATAAAACACTTTAACGGTTTAAAACGCGATATATTAGTTAAACTGATTTGAAAATGATTTTTAACTTCGGCCCGATTTTCAAATCGTTTTAAACCGTTAAAGTGTTTTATTTAAATGTCGATGGTTTCTCAAAATGCATGTAGAGCATAATCTATATTATTATAGTATGTTTGAAGCCATCTTCTATAAATGTACTACAGAATAGAACACGGTCGCTTAAAAGATTAGGATCTTAGATTTTTTTTAGTTTTATATAAGATTGGTATTTAATGTAGTAAAAATAATATGAGCAAAACTTCTACGGAACCCCAAAATGTCCTCTGTGTATGGTATATAAATAATAGTTGTTAAGATCCTGGCAACAAGATTATATTGACACGATAATATCACATAAAGTCGATTGAAGAGTTATTCATTTGCATAATTATGTTTAGTTGGGTCGTATGTTGTTTAAACCGGAACCGAACTTCGGCTGAATGTTGAGTTTAAATGTATACAGTTCGGTTGTTTTGATGTATTGTTGTTTCAAACATTTTTTATTAAAATCGAAATTTCAGAAAACCATAATGTATTAAACAATTTCTCAATTTACAATTGACTTTATTATCATATCATTGTCTTTCGGGCTATTCGGCCGATGTGAGCGAGCAGAGGTTCTCGACGTTTCGGCTGAACAGCCCGAAAGACAATGATATGCTGAACGATGGCCGTGAAAGCATTATACAATTTATTTTGACTTTATCATGTTTTAAATATGCACTATGCCGTTTTAACACAGACGAAACTAAAAAAAGATATGTATTAACTTTAACAATAATTTAACTAAATTAGTTTGTAGGACTTGTGGATTTCATTCTCCTTTGTTTAATTAACTGCAGTCTTAAATAAAAGATATTTACATTTTTTTAAATAATAGTAATATTTAAATAAAACACTTTAACGGTTTAAAACGCGATATATTAGTTGAACTTATTTGAAAATGATTTTTAACTTCGGCCCGACGTTTCGGATGCTTTGCAGCAGCCGTGGTCACGGTCATGGTCACGTGGTTTTAAACCGTTAAAGTGTTTTATTTAAATGTGTACTACTCGCGTAAACTATAGACAGTATTTAATAGTAATATTATTTACCTGAATTACTATATAATTAGTTAACCTACAACAAACAACACAGTAAATAAATCTATATATTTTTTGGGTGAATATCAAACCTACATCGCATTTTGTCAAACAATTAAAACCTTCGTTTAAAAAAAAATCGTTTACAGTTACCAAATTTCAGTTAAGCCGAATCTGAATCTATCTTTAGCCCATCCCTATTAAAAGCTGTGTATTTAAATAAAACACTTTAACGGTTTAAAACGCGATATATTAGTTAAACTTATTTGGAAATGATTTTTAACTTCGGCCCGACGTTTTGGGTGCTTTACAGCAGCCATGGTCACGGGGAGACAAACGAAGTTAAAAATCATTTCCAAATAAGATTAACTAATATATCGCGTTTTAAACCGTTAAAGTGTTTTATTTAAATGTGTACTACTCGCGTAAACTATAGACAGTTGTGTATTTGATCGCAATCGTGACTTTAAGGATAAAGAGTTATAATATTATATATTCTATTATACGATAAACAAGAATATTATAGGATTCTTAGACGGTTAAAAACATGAATATATTATAGAAATATGTGTAAAATCCCGTTTCCCCTCGTGGGGCATGGGGCGAACACATTTCTGTATCCGTTTCACTGATCGCTTTTTACTTACAGACAGTTGATCAGATTTCTGTGCCCTGCGCGATCCTTTATTGTTTCCCCAGGATTCGAACCAAGGACTTCGCGCTCTTAACGCAATGTTAGGCAACACGTTTAACAATTTAGCTATAGAGGTATTATAGACATATATTATGTATTATTGTTTTATTTAGAGTACCGTCTGTGCTTGGTCTTAACCCTTTACGAAAGTCAGCACATTTAATTACCAATATAATAATAAATTCTTACAGTATCATCAAAATTGAGTATTTAAATAAAACAAACAACTGTTTAAAACGCGAAAAATATTAGTTAATTTTTTTTGTCCATTTCCCGTAACTACGGCTACGGCAAAACATCCAAAATGTCGGGCCAAATTTAAAATGAATTAAAAACAGGTGAACTAATATAAAGTTTGAAACAGTTAAAAGTGTTTTATTGAAATGTTTGTTAGTAAACGCCTCAGTGGGGTATGGGGCGAGCACCTGAATGTCTGTTTTGCTGATTTTTATTTACAGGTAAGTTGTTCGGATTCGAAACTAGGATCGGGTCATGTTAAGCAGGTGGTCTTTCATTGAGGACGGGTATACGGAAATTTTAAGTTCTAAAAAAATGATTTACTGCTGATATTTTCCTGTTATATTGAATTTTAATATTTAATTAAAAACAGGGTCACTTCTCAAAAACTTGCAACACGAAAACTTATATTTTGATGGTCAAATGATAAACTTCGGCGTTGGCTCATGACCTTTGACTAAAACTGGATAAGCTGGTCTAGTGGCGTAATGTAGTAGGGGGGAGGGGGGGTGGACATTATGGTAAGCAACTTGGGTAAAAAAGCTAAACAATTTAAACAAATAACTATTCTAAGAAGGACGAAGTCGTTGACGCAGCTAGTATTCAATATAACAAAGTTTTAAGAACACATTGTGAAGTTTAATCGTAGTTCAATTTCTGTCTGTATTTCCAAATATCCAAAGCTTAAATGGGCCGATAGCGCATCTTGCCTAGATGTTATTCCTACTCTGTCATAAAAAAAGGACATGACCACCAAAGCTACGATAAAACAATGTATCAGAAATTTTATATCATGTTCAACTAAGCGAAGTATGTCCATTATACTATTGTTTAATGTATTTTCCTTTTAGCTAACATAAGAGTTACGTAGAACTGTGTATGTGTTTTCCCGCGCAAAATCCGAACTGTCAAAATTAAAAGCACAACGCGAACGCTCCTTTAAAACTCAAATTGCACAGATTATCTTACGTCATAAACTATATAGACTATAGACTATAGAGTTTATAATCTTATTTATATAAAACTCCTTTTAAAAATTTAAGTCTAAAAGGTTAACAGATGAAAATAACTGATTCAACAGATTATAACAACTATTTGTGCTATTATAATTGTGTTTGTAATGAATAATAAAACCTATTCTGTGAATCAGAACGAATAGAATGTTTTTACTATCCAAAAAGAATATATATATAGTAATAGCAATTATTTGACAAAACTTGAACTTACATTTGTGTGTACACTAATGTTGGTTCTATACACTTAACACTTAACTCACCTTGGTTAAACTTATAAAAACAAACGCATCACGTCCTATCTCGAACGCGGTCACTTGTATTTTACGCTGTGTTTTCCTCAACTCAAATGTCCACAGACTACAAGGTTGACCGTGCACTTCGGATTATTATTACGAAACTATTGTGTGGTTTTACAACGTGTTTGTCTGTCTGTTTTGTAAGATCAGTGTAACTCCTAAATTACTGACCATATTCGTCGCGTTTTAGTCGGAAGTGTTTTGTTTTAAAATCTAGAATATCTATTGTCTGTAGTTTACGTGAGTAGTACACATTCAAATAAACACTTTTAACAGTTTAAAACTCGGTATATTTACTTTTACCTAATAGTAGCTACGATACGTCGGGTGGTAGTTTAAATAAATAACGTTACTAATATATGTCGCGTTTTAAACCTTCTTTATTACAATTAGAAATAATAGACAATTACACGTTATTGAAGTGTACATTTAATCATGTCTAATTCCTTCCACAATACTCTTTACGGGTTGAAGATTTTGAAGTCTGTATGTTGTTCCTAGACTGCATAGAGGTTTAATTTATCAATATCAGTCCAGTTGTTTGATTCCTTCTAAATCAATTAGCGGATATATGAGGCACGCTAGAGGCAGAGTGGCCTAATAAAAAAAAACATAATTTTCAATAAGGAGAGAAATAAAAATACGCAATTAACTTAGGCGAAAATGAATTTGTACGGTCTAAAATTTACGCGAGTAGTACACATTTAAATAAAACACTTTAACGGTGATTAAATATATCGCGTTTTACACCGTTAAAGTGTTTTATTTAAATGTGTACTACTCGCGTAAACTATAGACAAACACGTTGTAAAACCACATAATAGTTTCGTAATAATAATCCGAAGTGCATTTGTGTAAGAATTATGTTAACAATTTTCGGTCACTTTTGTAGATTAACATTTTTAGACTATGAACATATAAAAATTGTTTGTAGGAAGATACGATTCTAACGAGAATCGTGGTATGGGATTCCCAATAGTCAATAATAACGGTGGCAGTGTTTTTAGTTGACACATTCTTACGAGAGGTCAAAACCTTGATACCAAATGTGCAATACATCTATACTAATATTTTAATAATATCTAGTTTACGAAAAATTCAATTAAGAAAAATTCTTATTGTGTTGGTTTAAGAATTTATCGAGGAAGGCATTAAAATATCAGGTTGCGAACAATAGAACTTAAAATTCCGTACATTCCGTTATATGCCTTGCGAAAACCGAACGAACGAACCACCACGAGTGGTTCGTGGTTTGTTAATTCACGGATGAAAAAACCGTGAAGTTTAGTCGCGTTTCGGTTCCAATCAGTGGATCACCATATCCAAAGCCAAAATAGGTCGACAGCGTATTTTGTTAAGATGTTATACGACTGGGGTATTCCACCTAACATAGAGTAAACCCCGTGCTTGTCTTTCGTCCTCCATCATAAAAAAATCTGGTATAGGCTTTTCTCGATTAAGTGTCACTTACGATGGCTTTACAAAATGGCGCTAGCCTTAACAATGTATAACTATTCATCCCGGAAAATGGGTCGCATCCAAAATGTAAACAAACTTATCAAATGTGGACATAAATAGTTTATGATTCAGTTTTTACGCAAAATAACCAAACACAACAGGAAACCGTTTTGATATTATTCACCAAACATATTAAACAATTTTATTAAAAAGCTATCGTGCTGTGTACAACTTAAATAATAACGTTGGCGACACGGTAGCTCAATTGGTTAGAGCGCGGTTCAAATATCGCCTGTGCCTTATTTATAAAAAAAAAATCTATCTTTACTGCTTTACTAATATATAAAGCTCAAGAGTTTGTTTGTTAGTTTGTTTGATCTAAAAAAAGACTTTTTTTAAGATTATCCCGCAAAAACGACGGGAAGGGACGCGACCGACGTCGTATAAAATAACTATTCCATGCGGACGGAGTCGCGGGCATACCGGCTATATTTAATGTATACTTGTCATTAAAATGAGAACAAAACGCAATATAGCTTAAAGTTTTTGATATCATAGAGCGTAAGCTGACAAACAGTCGCTATAACGAGTTATATATAACGAGACAGTTTACTTGCTTAGAATACCTCAGACTTATCACGTTAATTTAAAGGTTCCATATTTGCCAAATTTCATTAAAATCGGTTGAGCCGCAGAAACTGTTTTTCCAATTATAAAAAAAAAACAACAGCCACAGACGTAATATATGTATAAGGAAACAAAAAATAAATAGGTAATGTTACTATTCTATAGTAATGTATTTTAAAATTTTATTTATATATTAAAACTAGTCTTTACAATACAAAGATCCGTAATTACTAAGTACACTTATTTACGTCAATTAAAACAATAGTGAAGAGTCCACTGTTACATTTAATATCAACTATAATCAAACGGACACAAACATGTCTTGAATATTTTATACTTTAAAAACTTTAACGTTTTTCACATGTTATTGCACACGACGGCATTATATAATTAAAAAATCGAAAATAAATTGAAAAAAAAAACTACTTGGGCAGGACCGGCATCGTCAGCGTTCGGTGCTGTTGTTCTAATTTTAGACTTGCTTACGTTGTTATTAGTACTCGTATCTCTGTTACTACTGCTTTAAACTAATAACAAATTTACAGATTAGATAAAAAACCTTCTTGCAGATGAATTAAAAAAAAAAACTTAATGTGTACAAGATTGCAAAAACTCGATGACGCGGACCGAAATCAAACCCATGTTTACCAATTAAGCTACCTCGTCCCGGTTGTCCTTGACAAATTTGTGTCCTCTTGCGCATAAATAATTGCATTTTATCTATAACGTATGGACATAATGACGTTTTAAAACATTTGTTTTAGTTTAAACTCGGGTCATATTCAGTATTGTTTATCATTTTTATGGCAAATCATCTGTTATAGATTATTTAGCTAATAAACTTTGCGATTTAAATCCAGAAGAAACACTTTGCACTATATATTTTTTGTTTAAAGCACTATTTTTGTACACATACTCACAATATATGTACACCCAATTACATAAACCACATAAGATGCATAACTACGCCATTGTGTGAGTTATAATTTTTATGCTTATCAAAACTACATATCTAAATACACTATACAATGATATAATACTATAAAGTACTACCCTAAACAACTCTTAATAGATACTATAATAAAGGTTGCCTGGAAGAAATCGCCATAGGCGATAAGGCCGCCTTTGCACAAACATGTTTTATTTTCTATATATAATTCTATGTATCTATGTTTGTGCAATAAAGAGTTATTATTATTATTATAATTAAATATACAAGTATTTAAATAAATCCATAAAAAATACAACCAACAGCCGTGATCACAAAGGAACTAAAACCAATATGTTACTAAGCATTCAAAACGTCGGGTATATAGTTAAAGTTAACTGTTATTTATCAAGTTTTGAACAGACAAAATAGTTTTTTTTTCATGGGTCTTATTAGCGATGCTACGATACTCAAATACATTTGTTTAAATGAAAACTTTGTCAAGAACCACGCACTTACTCTTTGACGCTTCAAAACATATTTTTCATGCTTAAATAGAACAGACCCAAGTGTCTAGGGTATGTGCACAGAATAAAGGCTGAAAAGAGACACAAGGTCCTTTGCACTCAACAAGGAAGCACACAAAAGCCCGGACCTGGCTGCGGTGGTAATGGAGTTCCTAAAGACCTGGAAATCTTAGGTATCCAGAATTGGCAACAGAAGTCCAATATCGCGATGGTAGAAACTTGTGAAGGCGGCTAGAAACCACAGGGACTGTACAGACATTGATGACAAATGTTAGTTTACAATTCCTGAGCAATTTGCCCCTAACATCTAAAGATTTTCGTCACTTCGTGTCGTCTTAATAAGTATAAGTCGAGTCGTCATATCCCATATTCCTCATTTGCATGTCTATCCAGGGACGCAGGAAGCTGACGTCCATGTAGACTCCAGGTATCCCGTTCTGACCACAACCGATCCCCCAAGACACTATACCGGTTTGGATGTACCGGTCTTGTTCGTCCTGAAAAGAGATCAAAAAGCTTAAATACTGTCTGTAAACGCGATATATATTAGCAAAGTTTTTTTGAATTTTTTTTTAACTACGGCCCGACGAGTCACGGAGAGACTAACGCGGGTCACTGCTGCTTCAAAGCATCCGAAACATCGGGCTGTAATTTTCAAACAAGCTTAACTAATATAATCGCGTTTTTAACGAAAGTGTATATTTAGATCAACAAGCTTGTTTATATAACATTCTGAAATGTGACAGTGAAGATCTTGAAAACATCAATATTTGTCACATGTTTGTATTGCACATGACGGCAATTTATAAATGAAAAATCGATTTTAAGTTTAACTAAAATATATCTCGTTTAAAACTGTTAAAGTGTTTCATTTCAATGTGTACTACTCGCGTAAACTACAAGCTGTATTTAATCTATATTACATAGAAAAAAAATTACGCCACGGGCAGTTTTTGAACCAGCTTTCCGTGCTGTTGCTCTAACCAATTGAGCTACCGTGTCCTACACGTGTATATTTTTAACTTGACATATGCTCTACCCGTGTATTTTTACCAACCTATTATCGATTTTAATGTATATAATGTAAGATCTCGTCGTTCCTCATTTGTTTACCTACAACTTGAGGTTTTTACAAAGTTGAGTTGATAAATATAACGCTTTGTAACGTCTAAAAGCGATGGGGGGGGGGGGGGACATTATAGATATGGCCGTCGAAAAAATGTTCAATTACAGAATTTTATAACGACGCTACCCACAAAGAAATGGATGGTCAATTAACTAATATATTTATGAAAATGCGTTATAAGAATAAGTTAAGGAAAAAAAATAATAGCAATACTTACTGGTAGAGGACACACAAGCGGTGCACCACCATCTCCCTTGCAGGTATCCACGCCGTGTACTCCACCAGCGCACGTGAAACACCTGTGTAATTTGAAGTGTCCCCCCAAACGGGTTGTTCGGAGAGCAGTCTGACAGCTTTTGCGACTCATCACTGGTACCTCTACCTAACCGATGAGAAAAATAAAAAAGAGATAAAATAAAAAATATAAAACGTTAACGTTCTGTAGTTAACGCGAGTATTATTTAAATAAAACACTTTAACGGTTTAAAACGCGATATATATTGGTTAAAATTAATTTTACTTTGACGTCAGAGACACCCTCCATCTTTAGTCTCCCCGTGACCACGACAGCTGCGAAGCATCCGAAATGTCGAGCCGAAGTTAAAAATATTTTTCAAGTGAGTTAATGAACTAATATATATAGCGTTTTAAACCGTTAAAGCGTTTTATTTCAATGTGTACTACTCGCGTAAAGGCAGACAGTAGGTATTTACAATAAAATGTTTTTTTTGTGTAATTTTAATGTTAAAAACTTTTAAGTTAAACGGTTTTATTTTTTGTGCACTGAAAACTACAAAAAATTTAAACTTTGCATCATCGTGTTTTACTAGTGTAGCTTTCATTTGATACCCATAATCCATATGGAAGGGACACATTGAAGGGGTCAAGGAAAAATATATAATCCGCCGTTTTTTATCGGCAGCAATCTTAGATTTATAATGTTATTGATTTTATTATATTGTATTGTCATCTAAATTAAATGTGTGTACCAAATTTCAGATCAATCTGACAGTGGGAAGTTGCTTAAATTTCAATTTCTAATTTTGACCCAAATAAATGAATTTCGTACGGGTCGAGCTAAATAAAACCGTTTAAAAATACAACAAAAGGAAAATAAGCAAGAGGGCAAAATAAAATGAATACATGTAGACATTTCGCTTTTTAAACCGTTAAAAGTGTAATATTTGATGTTCCACTCGCGTGGAATACAAACTACTTAAACTGTAATTATTTTCGGACGACCACGCACTGGTTACAATATAACGGATATTTGTAAAAATAATGAAACTTTGAAATGACATTTCAAGGAGCGTATGCCGCCGCCATTCTGTTAACTCTTTGTTCGTCATGTTAATTGTACAAAATGGCGACTTAGTACACAAGTGACGGTCTATTCAAATCAACTCAATTGCCCCGGAACTCGATCCAACCACCTCGGAAAACACGACGGTGGAAAACTAATAATGGCTAACCGGCTGCGTGTTCGATCCCCACCGTGTCCAAAAATGTTTCCAATCCATTTGTAATTTTGCTGAAACGTGCTCGACTTCGTCTGGAAATCTAGACATTAAATGAAAAGCCGTCCAGTATAATCGCGTTTCGTTTCCAGTCTGTGGATTTTTGACTGTAAACAAACTAACGCTAATATATCAACTATTAAAGAGATAGTTATACAAAGCTACCTTTTTGAGAATGTTTTGATATTGCTGCGTGTTAAAGCTGGTCTTTCCCCAACCGGCAGCTAAGCAATGAGTTCCTGATGGTGGCCTTATCCCAGCTGGAGACAAACACACCACTCCCACATGAGGTTCCATCTTGAAGGGAGATGCCAGTTCTAGAAGGGCGACAGCATACCACATGTTACCTGAAATTACAAGTTCTTATTGTTATAAACAAATAAAATAATTTATTAAACAAATATTACAATTAATATTAACCTTTATAATATAATTCTTAACTTTATAGTATTGTCTACGCGATAGACACTTTTAACGGTTTAAAACGCGTAATATTTTAGTTGATTCATTTACATCGATTCGAACGGTCAGCAGCAGTCGTGGTCACGGGGAAACTCAACATGGATTTTAAACCGTTAAAAGCGTTATATTTAAATGTGCACTACCCGCCAAAACTACAGACAGTACTAACATATTAGTTTTTCAATAGAGAGAATAGATTAGCATGTTCACTTGACGGAAGGCTTTGGACATTCGGAAATCCAAAAGACTGCAACCGCAACGCTGACTGCAGCATATACGTGTATTCTTAATACTAACTTAATATCGCATGGATTACTATATATTTACAACGGAATTAGATTAGACCTATGACATACTCATTGGTCAACGGTAGCAATTAGGTACGGCAATTTTTCTGAAACATCGTGGACGCCGTCTGGAAATCTGGATACTAAAAATTAATTGTTATTTTGTGTGTGTGGAATAAATGTTTTTATTTGATTTAGAAATCGAAAATTAAAAGGAATTAGTAAATAGCAATTTATACTCACGTTTTTGATAGTTCTTGTGCACTATTACACTCTGGACGTTCCTCTGCTGATGTTTCAGGGGCTCCTTCGTTGTCTTCGAGTCCCACTCACCAGCTCTCACCGAGAGATCGTCTTCTGTCACCACCTGAGCTCCAGTTAGCACCACCGCTGGGTGGATCAACGATCCTGCTCCGTTGTAGTACAATAACTTCTTCTCCTTTGAACTGAGAAATAATATTTCATTTATTAATTAACACTTTAACGAGTCTCCCCGCGACCACGGCTGTAGCAAAGCATCCGAAACGTCGGACCATAGTTAAAAATAATTTTCAAATAACTTTAACTAATATATATCGCGTTTTAAACCGTTAAACTGTTTTATTTAAATGTGTACTACTCGCGTAAACTACAGACAGTATTTAACGTTTTATTTATTTACTAGCTGCATCAGAATAGTATTTGGGCAACAAAAATTGTTTTTTTATCCCACGTTCTTAAAAGCCGCTGTCATCTCTTACATATTTTTTGGTATCTTAAACTTTCTTCGCAGCCCAAAAAAAAAAAAAAAAAAAAGAAGAAAAATTTTCCCCTTTTAACAAAATTTCCACTGCTTCTTAGCCCCTATTAGTCACAGTGCGATATTTATAGCCTATAACCTTTCACGATAAATGCTCTAACCGACACAAAAATAAAAGGTAAGCGCGTTCGAACAAACAAACAAACACACTCGTCAGCTGTTTTAGATACTAAGTCATAAATCACATACATTTTCAGAACAGTCACCACCCAAGGAAATTCTCCGAACTTTGACTCTCCGTCCACATCGCCTGTCATTCGAAATCCACCAACGCCATCTGGATTTCGCCAGCCGCAACCCTGGTCATCCTATAAAAATATTTATTTATTTGTACGTATTTCTAAAAAAAAACAAATAAAACCGCCAGTGCCGCCAGTTGAGATTTCAAATTTATCGATAAAAAAAAAAAAAAGAAAAGTTTGTTGAACCATTTTTAAAAGACTATTGACTTCTATTAATAAATTTACAGTATTGTTTTATTAACTATTTTTAAAAAAAAAAAAAAAAAAAAAAAAAAAAAAAAAAAAAAAAAAAAAAAAAAAAAAAAAAAAAACTTCGTTTAAATAAAACACTTTTAAAGTTTTGTAACGAGAATTAGTTAACCTAATTTGCACTATATCGCGCAATCGGCGTAAAACTTTTGATTTTTCAAATACACAGACTGAAAACAAACCGTGAATTTAAACATTATATTAACGTGTTTTACAAAAAAAAAAATGTTTGACGAGTTTTATATCGTTAATAGGTAAAAAAAATGATTTTGGTTTGAAAAAATACGACTCGGGATCGGAACCGTCATATACATAATTTCAACATTAATTCTTGCGTATTAAGTTTGTAATTACATTGCGCAAGAGTTGCAAGTACCAATAGGAATTGAAAAAAATTCGACGATGACGTGTCTCCTACACGTCTCGGTAGCTCAATTGGTTAGAGCAACAGCACGGAACGCTGTGGATGCCGTTATAAGTACCGCCCGTCTCATAAAGTCTAAAATCGATGTTCAATTTATATAATGCCATCGTGTGCAATAATATGTGAAAATATTAAAGTTTTCAAACTTTACAATTTTTTTATACGTAATTTTACATATGGGCCAAAATACTTTTTGATGCCTAAAAACCTGTCCCTGGAATTAACATTACATTTAATGCGAATCCGATACAAAATTGTGACAATAGTATAATCATTTTAAAATTTAACATTATTATCTAATACAAAACACATGATTTGAACTGAAATAATTGTTATTAATTGAAAATTTACAGTAACAAAGTTGCCATTTTTAGTAACGCAGCCGTTTTTCATACTAAATATCTATGTCCCTGAGCATGTGTGCCAAACTATACGGAACAATTTCTCAAAATATTTCCTAGGTGGCGGTTAATTATAGATGGTATAATAAAAATGCAAGGTTTGGACGTTATTAGAATGGCATTAGAAACGTTTTAAATTGAACATTTAATAAAATAAAAAATTAATGTATCTGTGTCCCCAACGAGTAACAATATCGTAGCTACCTTGCGTTACTGTATGAAAAAAGACTTTAAAATGATTGGATTAAGGTTACTTGCACATTATTTGGTTCGATTTGTAGTAACTCGTTTAACAAACGACAGTAACAGCGCGGGGGCAGTACTCTCGCCGTGCTGGTCGCGTCCCGCTCCGTGAAGGAGGTGCGTGTATCTATTGTCTGTCTGCTGAGTTACCGCTGTTAATGTTACGTCCTGACGATATTTCACGTTATTATTGTTTTATTACGCATTTAGGTATGTATTGCAACCGTGAGTGTAAAAATATCTGGATTTTATTATTTGATTTGGAAATTATTTACAATTTAGTCAAATATTTACAACTGCGTAACTGCTACACTGCGTTACAAAAAAAAAGTAACGCAGTAGTTAGATAGGTAACGTAGTTGTATTTTTGTTACTTATAAACAGTATACGTTATTAAATCCGATATAGCTATAGGAAAATTGTATCTTTTTTTCTCAGAAAAAAGTTTCTGTCCTAAATGGCGCTGACAAACGCAGAAAAACAACGTCGCTATAGATAAAAATTGAAACAAGGCCCGGTAAAAAATGCTGAAGCTGGATTATGAGAATTTCGTACCATATCTGCAAATAATTCTAATAATCCAGCCTCTATCTGGGCACGCTTACACCCAATAATTAGTGACATAGAACATAACAATCCTAACATAACTACAATTCATTTTTTCTCCGATGGACCAGCTACTCAGTATCGAAAGAAGCAACATTTTTATTTCATTAGTCACCGAATATTCACTGAGTAAAACATCATTATACATCATACGCGCAGCAGCATACAACAAACATCATACGCGTTACATGGAATTTCTTTGAAGCTGGGCACGGCAAAGGGGCTGCTGATGGTGTTGGCGACTATCTCAAACGCACTGCAGATAAAAAAGTTGCTGTTAGTTCAAATATTTCTAATGCAGATGAATTTTTTGACACCCTAAAAGACTTGAGCAAGGTCCGTTTTTACTTGGTGACACTGACTGACAGTGATATTCATAACATTGAAAAAACACTACCTGAAAGTCTAGTGCCACTTCAGGGTACGATGCAATAAATCAGGTTTTTACTCACACGTTGGGTGAACTTCGCTAAAGAGACCTTAGTTGTTTTTGCAAGAGGGGCTTTTGTTAGTGCATGAATCTAAAAACATATAAGCCTGCATACAAACATATCCCATCATTGACACACGTAAAGAAGACGTTCCATTTGATGAATCGGATAATGATATAGTCCTTGATGACATTACTAATATTGTTGCCGTACCTTTAAGGTACGTATTACAAGATTTATTAGAAGTTTATTATTCGTCTTCTAGCTCTGACGAGAAGCCCTTATGAAGCTTGTGCTAAGTGTCAACATCTAACGTACACGAACACGCACGTGAAATACAGCAAATTGAAAAGGAAAATGTTCATCCTACGAAGATATATGAAGGTGTCCATGTTTTAGTAAAAGTTACTTATGTTAAGGAAAAATAATATACTTACCTTGGTGTTGTTAAAAGTAAAGTTGATGAAGAAGGGGACGTTAAAATTATGTTTTACAAGACAATTGACGACACTGGCAAAAGATTCAAAGCAGTAGATACCGATATATCTCACGAACCATACGAAAACATTGTAGAAATTGTCCCTAACCCCAAAGTTGTCGTGAAAGGTAAAAGATTATACTTCAATTATGACAAGCCAAAAAATTTCTGAAGAAAGACTGAAGATATAGTGCCTCATTAGTTTATACAGTTGATTTTCTCATTAAGGTATATTAATCCATAACAAATATTGACGTAGGCAAACGTTTTATGTTACTTGAGGTACTTAATTTTATGTCGAGTCATGAACAGTTAAAATTGTTTTGTTATAAAGATCTCTATTAAAACTACAAAGTATAGTATATAAAAAATACTACTGTGTTACGAAGATTAATACTGCGTTACTTTTGTGTCCCTCTTGTTTTTATTGTATCTTTAATTATACAAAGGACTCTTATTGTCAAAAATGTCTTAAATTTATACGTACGTGCTATTTATGACAAGAAGAATACTATGTTGTCAATTGGAATTAATTTTAAGTTTATTTTTGTAATTTATGGAAAAGTTTAAGTTTTAATATTTAACATAGGTAACGCAGTGTATCTAATTAAACATGAATATTCGATGAAACTGATTATTTCTGTGATTTTGCTTTATAGGTGATTTATATAATCACTATAGTTTAAAACTGACGTATTATTAAGTC